GAGTGTTTTTTTTTTCTTGTTTTTCTTTTAAATAATTTTTCCCCCCCCCCCCCAGTTGTTCGCTTTTCACAGTTTGGTCTCATATTTCTTGAAACAGTTGATAAGAGTGTTGTAAATGTGGTTTTATCAGTGCCTTATTCAGTAACACTGATACTCCCCTACTTCTGAAGTAAAATACTATATCTGATAGACCAGGAATCACATGAGCTTTCTCCATGATTGTGTTGCATTCTTAGCACAGAAATCCCTGCGTCTTTCATGCACCTTTGCTTCCAGCTGATGAGTCCTTAGGGGTGTTTTATTGGTTTTTGCTTGTTTGTTTAGTAGTCCCTAAATGTGCTATTCTTCACATAATAGTACTCTTAAGTTCATCTGACGCAGTTCAGCTCACTGTTCTGGTGTGATGACTGGGAATTGCAGTTCTTGTGCCTTGATGCTTCTTAGAAACTGAATGGATCTAAACCAGCTTTTTTTGGGAAGGTTGCTAACAGTCATATCAGGTGGGATAATTTCTAAAGTTGGTCTTCCAGGAATATCCCTAATTTCTTGTTTCAGGAGTTTTCTATTAAAAGTAAGAATCTCCTAAGGTTTCCCATTGAGACAGCTCTTCTAGTAATGTCTGCAGATTGCCTTCGCTAATCTTCTGTAGGTGTGGCATGAGATACTTCCCTTAAATCCAGGCAGATTAGGTCAATTGCACTCTGCTTGTCTAGGAATGTCTATGAAACAGTCTGACAAGTCAGTTTCTGTCCAAGCTGTGCTCAGTATTGTGTCTTTTATCCTTCTGTGCACCAGTTCACTTGCAGCTTGGACAGCACTGGAGAAAGAGCCTTTCTTTAATCTGGCAGCAATGGTGAAGTGCTCTTGGTGACTGTGAAGTCCTATATAGAAATGCTGGAAGAGGTAGCAGGTGTGAATCGTTCAAAAAGCAATCAGACATGTTCACGTTGTATCTTTTTGCACAAAGGTGTAGCTACAACCTCTGGCTTGGGATATCGTAAAGCAGCAAATTCCTGGACTCTGGAGGAAAGTATCAGAAATATCACCACATGTTCACCATGCTCCCTGCACTTCCCTGTAGGTATCTTCCTGATGCCTTTTAGCCCTTGGAATGCTAAATGGATTGGTCTTCCATTTTTACAAGAGCAGAGAGCAGAAGAGCAGCTGCACTGGATCAGAGTTACCTTCTGTGGTGAATAGCTTTGGGCAGGTGCACAGGGAGGAGTAAGAATAGGGTAAACGTACATGATATCTCCTTTCTCCTTTCCTTTTTCCTTTCCTTTGAGCACTCTCTAGCTCTTTGCAGCTCAGAGGCTCCCTGAGCCAGAAATACTTTCTGTGTATTTTGATGAAGTTTTTTTAGAAGTGATTTAAAAAGTAAATGTCTGAGCTATCAAAAATACAGTGTGTATTTCTATGCCAGCCTTCAGAATAGTAGCAGATAATGTTACTCATACTTTGAAAAGGCTAAATGCTTTGGGGAGTTGCTGGCTATGATCAGAAAAATTGTTGAACTAACATCTTAAAGTATAATTTACAAAAGATCAAGACATTTAGACATTCAGCACTGCCTCTGCTAAGGAAAAGCACGTTTGGCTAATCAGGGCTCTCTGGGCCATTCTGTAGAGAAGTGTATAACAAAGAACAGTTAATTAACCTGGATTGCCAAAAGCTTTTGCCAAAACTTGCAAACTAAAGGCTGTTAGGGAGCCAGCTGGCTGTGAAGCAAGAGGAAAGACTGCAGTTGTGGACTTTGACACTGTCGCTTTTCTGCTTCACTTTGCCAAAGGCAAAATAGAATAAATGGCTAGCTTTGTGCTCAGAGTTGCCTGGAGATGTTGTTTATTTATAAGTACTCTGGTTACCCTCACTATTTGATTTTAGATACTTAGGCGTTTAGAAGGCTACTATGGTTAGTTAGGAATGCAGAAGCGCTTGTGAAAGGGGGAGGATTAGAAGGTATGGAAGGGGGAGAAGCTGTGTCTGAGAAGCCATGGGGCCATGGCGGGTAATGGAGCTCAGCTCCTCTCCTGTTTGTTTCTGGGACAATGTCAGAGGATTGCCCTCGGTAACAAAAAAAAATTCTCACTGACCATTTTGTGTTGCTGTGTGTTGAGGAGAGCCTGGAGGACATTTTTCAAAACCTCATCTTCCCCTCTGAATCAGTCGAGCACCAAAAATGGCTGGGCATGAGCTGGCCAGTGAGAATGGCTGTTCTAAGTGTCAGGAATTGGGAAGACAAAGTGAGTTTTCTAAAAACCAGAGCTGGCCTTTATGAAAGAAATCAAAGCAGCAAAAACTTTTATTAGCTATAAAGTCAAGAACCAGAAATAGATTGCTTTGCAGTAAGAACAAGCTAAAGATTCACTAGGTATGACTTCAAACTAAGCAAATATTTTGCCTGTGTTTTTAGCTTTGCTTGTGTTGGATTGTAGGAGTGAAGCCAGGATGACTAATGGAAACACAGGTGGAAGTAGGAAATATTTTCATTAATGATCTAGGCAAAAAATGTAGGAATTTACTTATCATGTTTGCTGTTGATGAAGTAGAAAGGCTTTGTTATGAGAACCAAAATGTTGTGCAGAAAGCAGTGGATGAGCACTAAAGCAATAAGAGTGAGGTGACAGTATGAAATAGAAAGAGACAAATTTATAAATTCTTGTTTAGCCTCTCTGATAAACTAGACGATCTTCATATGGAAACAACAGATGGTACAACCCTGGCAAATGCATTTATAGTAACGCAAAGCGCCCATTGTGGAAAGTATTAGTGACCTTAAATAAAATCCTAGTAATCCCTCAGATGAAATACAGGTGAAATATAGTATATACCTTTAGTCATCTTTGTTCAGGAAAGATGAATTCTTGAGGTGCAGGAAGGTCTGGGACTGTTAAGGGGAATGGATATTCTGTCATAGGCTGATGACCATGACGTGGTTTAACCGGCACAGTAACAGCTGAAACTGGGTAAGGATTTCTTCCCCTAGTGCACACTCGTTGTCAATGTTATGGAAATGAAGCTTCTCAGAATAAAAATAATTTAATCAAAAGCACAACCAAGCATGAATTTGGCCATGTAGTCTGGAAGGTTTCTTCTAAATATTGATGGGGGAAGAGTACTCTGAGGGAGCCTCCCAGCAGGGACCATGGGAGCAAAAATCAAGACGGCTTTAAAATGGAGTGTAATCAGCCTGTGAAGGGGATGACATGGTGTGCCAATGACAGCAGCAAATGCAGCTCTGCGGGAAACATAGGATTCAGGCTGATGACCTGTTCGGATGGTTTCCAGCACATCCAATCACTTATCTCACAAATGCTGCAAGTCCGGCAAACTATAGAGCAGGCTGGACATCAGAATAGATGATTGAGCAGTTGAAACAGCAGCATGGCACTGTTAAAGAAAGTCATGTGTTTCCCTGGGTTGTTTTGGTACAAATACACATGCACAGTCAGCAGGAGTGTGACAGTTTTCTGCTCTTCTGGCTCAGTGAGGCTTGCTGTCAGATGTTTGTGTTAATCTTGCTAGAGATGCAATAGCCCGCTTAAAGAAGAAGGCAAAAATGTACAGTTTGAAGAATGGGTGAGTATTCATTCTTAACTTCTTAACTTTGGGAGGAGAAGAGGGTAAACATGGTAAGAAGCTTTTGATGCTTGAAGTTCTAGATTGCATGAAATACTGTCTGTGCAAGAAGAACATGGAGTTTAATTCAAGAATTGGGCCTCACCTTCCAGGTTCTTTATGATTTGGGCCCATCATGTCCAAATGTCCATGTTTCTGCAATGGGATAGATTAACTCTGCAGAGTGCAGATGAGAAAACTTTATAGCTTACAGACCCTGCTCATCTGTGCAAAGCAACAGTTCTTTTGGAAACAAAGATGAGGCTGTGAAGAAGAGAGCCCGTTGTAAACGTCAGCACCTCCTCCAAGTTTCAGTTACCTTCTCTAGTGTAGATACTACATGTACATTTAAAGAACTGTTCATCAAATGCTACTGTGTAAGCAAAACCTCCCTCTATTGGGGAGGAGAGAGAATGGCTTCCGCTAGAGCAAACAGTTGTTAGATTATTTTGTCCTTCTAGTAGCGATCAAACAGTCTCACAGTACTTGGGAGTCCCTGGTCAGAGATAAAGCTCAGATGTGTACAAAACAAGCACTTCAACTTAACTCCTCTGCTCCCATGCAGGTGGGTCTCAGCTAGAAGTGAAACTAGTGCTGCTTTGGAAGCATAACATGAGGATAGAGTACTTAGCTGTGACACCCTGGCCCCTGGACCCATCAAAGCGCAGCACATGGGTGGAGGTGACGATGGAAGGAAGCTATGACATCTTGCACGACATCAGTTGCACCATGAGGAAGCCTATCACCAGTCTGTACCGTACTACGGTCATCCGCCGCTTCTGGAACACCTTGCAGAGGTGAGCCGGACCATCCCCAGCAGTTCCCAGTGTCCGATGTAACCAAGAAATTCCTTCTTTGGCATGCTGGGGCATGGGTTATGCAGGTGACCATCCCAACCCAGGGTCCCAAAGGAATGTGCTCTGAGGAAGAGGCATGACTGGCGAGAAGCTCGCCATCTAGCTGAGGAAAAGACTTGAACTGGCCTGTGACCTAGTCTGTAAGATTGCTTCATGGTGAAGGTATTGCCTGTCAGCCCCTGAGTCCTGATCCTGTGATGCAAGCCTTAACTCTGACTGCCATCCCATGGAGGTGGTGTGCAGCTGTGCTGCATGGTTGCACTAGGAGCAACACCTACCGTCTCTAGGCCTGAAGAGCCTGTGGGTTATAACCATTTCCTGGCCAGGGTGACCGTTACTCCCCGCTATTTGGCAGATTCCTTTTCTAGCACTTCATTCCTAACCCTGATCATCCTCCTTATGTTTTAGGCTGTTACACTTGAACTCCCTTAACATGCTCTTTGCAATGAGGCATTGAATCCCAGCATTGCCTTAGAAAGCTATGTTGGTGTAGAAGGGCTCCCAATACATAGGGAGTGCTGTGTGTGCAGGCACTGGGCTGACGGGGGCACCAAGGGGGAGAGCGTGGGGTTTTGTGGCTAACTGCCTCTTCTCTTTCAGCATCAACCAGACAGATCAGATGTTGGTTCATCTGCAGTCTTTTGACACAGTCCCAGAACACTTCACCATTCCTGAGAGCACCAAGAATGGGGTGCCCCTCTTCTATATCCCCCCAGGCTCCACCACTCCGGTATGTTCCCTCTCTCTCCCATTTAATGTGGGATAGGTTGTCCCTTAATGGTTGGACTTGATGATCTTAAAGGTCTTTTCCGACCTAAATGATTCTATGATTCCTGCCTATTCTGTCTTGCACCAGGGGATGCTGAGTCCCAACAGGCAATCAAGATCTTCTGTAACTCTTAGGCTTCATCTCTTGTTCTTTGTCTCGCTCAGCAACAGAGTTCAGGTGCAGTGCAGTGTCTGTGAACATCCCATCCCATACTTTTTCCCCTCTGAGACATCACCCTATGTCTTTATTGCTACACCTACACCTCTGAGCCCCACAGCAAGTCTCCTAAGTGTGCTGTGAAGCCTTCTCCTGTAGTGATGTGATGTGTGAGACTGATGGGGAGGCTGACACGCTTATTTTTGCCATGCTTTTTCGGTGGATACCTCATATGTGTGGAGTTGCTGCTGGCAGTCTTGTGTCCTGGTGATGTAGCTCCGCACCGTCAGGTGAAGATATAGGATGTGCTGAATAGTTGTTGTTTAATAGGCTCATTGCTCTGAGCACTCATGTGGAAGGTGCAGAGAGATACTTGTCACCTGCACAGCAGAAACTAAACAGAATATGAGCTAATAGTTTCCACTGCAAAATTCAAACTCATTGAAGCTCACTGAGCAGCAGTGCTAGCATATTATCTGTTTCCTGCTAGCAGTGTCCTTGGCATTGGTAGAAGATGACTAGCAGATGTCAAAGCTAGGGGAGCTTTAATTTAAGAGAACTATTGCTTTAATTTTATTGCTTAAGCCCTTCTTTAGGTTTGCCTAGTAAATTTTCACTATGTAGTGTTATGTATCCCACAGTATATCTGGAGCATCCCATCTTATGGCTAACCACAACTTTATTTCTGTGTCAGCAGAGTTGCTATAGTTGGTGGAATCACAGTGTTACCATACAAACATGTTAGAGTTGCTCAATGCCACCCATTGCTGGTACCCTATTTGCACGAGCACTCTCAGACAAGTTATCTCAGTGTTTAATTGCTCTGCTGACACAAGCCGTATATCCCCCTCTCAATCAGAAGGCACACCATTACATATGCCATCTTTTCTATGGCTGATTTACTTGATGCTAAGTAGTTAAATTCCTAATTAGCTTGACATTTCAGGAACCAAATTTATTTTTGCTTACATTGTACTGCCTATTTCAATGTGAATGCACTTAGTTATTCTGCGGAGAGGCAGTTACCGAAAGCCAGGGATGTGGCTAGCCTTCTAGGCCTACACAGCTCAGCTGCTAGAGAAATTCATACTCTCTCTGGGTGGGACCAGACAGTTACTTGCTGAATGTTGCCCTGTCATTTTCTCAGGTGCTATCCCTGCAGCACAGTGGGTCTGACTCAAGCCATTCCCAGTTTGCCTCCTACTGGAAGCCTATCCTTTCCATGGATGCCAACTTCTGGCAGAGGTGGCTGCACATGCATCGTATAGTCCTCCTTCTGGAGCATGACACGTATGTAACTGGCAGGGCTGAGCTCACGTGCACAGTGTGGGCCAGCCTGGGAAAGCAGGGCGTCCAGTTCAGTCCAGTTGCAGAGTTGCAGCTGTCTTGTAGGTGCCTGTGGCTAAGGGAAAGACCTTGCCAGTGGGACCTGGTGGATGGTGAAGGCTCATTTGTCTGAGAGGGACTGTGGGTTGGGAAGTCATCTTTGTGAAGAGGGGGGCTGTTCTCAGGAGCATAAATTGTTTCTCAAGTCCCTTTTGGGTTTGGATTTCCTGATTGCAGGGGGTGTGGACCATCCAGTTGGAGCTATCCCACATGGTTTTTTTTGCTGCTGGAAAACATCTTCCCCAAAAGCATTGCTTTCCTGAGGCTGGTCCTGGTTGCAGAGTTATGTGAATAATAGCCATATATTGCATGGAGCGAGACAGAAATGATAAAGGGGTGTGCTCTCTGCAAGGTGGAGAGCAGGATCCCTGTGCGCTCAGGGAGTGTGGCTCTCACCAACAGGCACAGGTAGGGGAGGTGCTTGGGTATTGGCTGCTGTGGAGGAATAAGGCTGACGTACCAGTCAGAGGATGAGTTGGAATGGATGTAGCAAAGTCTCTCTGGGCTTTGGGGGAAGAAGAGAAACTGTGGTTCTAAAATTACTTTCTACCACACCCTGCAGGCCTGTGCCCAAGCACCTGCACACACCAGGCAACAACGGGCGCTACAGCACCATCCAGTGCCGCATCTCTCACTCGGCACTCACCTCCTTGCTGCGGGATTGGAGCAGCTTCGTGCTGGTGGAGGGCTACTCCTACGTCAAACTGATACATGGGTGAGTGGCTCTGAAACAGTCCCATGGGGGGAATCGGGCATATGGCCAGACCAAAGATCCAGTTAGACCAGTATGCTGTGATAGGCCAAAAGCAGATGTCTAGAGGAGAGGATAAGAGCAAGACAAGCGGGTGTGAAACCCTGCGTACGCTGAACTGGTGCCACTGCGTTCCAGGCACAGCCCAGGGGGAAAGGGAAGCCAGCTGGGGGGGTTCTGCACGCTAGAACTGACGTGTGTTGCTGCCAAGTTGTGTAGGCTGTTGAGCTCTGTGGAGCAGGCCTCCACGTGGTCTGACATGACAGAGCAGCAAGATCCATGTGATTTCAGTCCTGTCTTAATCCCTTCTCCATAGCTCTGAGGATCCCACACCTTCCTCGTTTTATGTGGTGCGGATCATCTCCAAAGCTCCCTGCATGGTTCTCCGGCTGGGGTTCCCCATTGGCACACCCGCACAGGCCAGGAACAAGGTGAGAGCTGGCTGGCTGCTTCCTGGGGTAGGAGCAAGAGCAAGAAGTTCTGGATGTGGAAGTGGTGGGTAGATCACAGGCGACACTGTGGGCAGGTATCCTCTAATAACTAACTAGTATGTTAAGGCTTAGATGGGTGTGAATTTACTGTAACAGAAAGGGACAGTTTGGACAAAGCTTTCTGTGTTAAGTCTATGAAAGATCTAAACCCAAAGACTCGAAGATCAATAGAATAGCTGGTCACATGAATGTTTTTCCCACTGCTTAATTCAACTGTGGAGCTTGAAATGACTCAAAGGTTATCTAGTCTATCCTTGTGGCCAAAGCACAATCAATAGTCTCTGTCAGGAACAGCAGATACTTGTCTGACTCATCTGTAAAGACCTCTGTGATGGACGTACTACATGTTCCCTAGGCTATCTGCTTCAGTAGGTGGTGAATTGCGTATGTATATTGTATCATGTGTGCAAGGAGGAGTTAAAGTGCGAACAATGCCCTGCATGAGCAGTACAGAGAGAGAAAAAAATGTAATACCGAGAAAATGTTTTAAAGAGATGCAAGTCTGCTAGATAGACTTTTAATAACCTCTTTGTATCAAAAGAAATGGGCTCCCCTAGTCAGATGCAGGAGGTGGGGTTACTGCGTGGACTGTTTCTCCAGCTCTAATCACTGAGGCAAGTCTAAGTGTTCCTAGGTAAAACAGTAATTATGAGAAAGATGTCCTGCTACTAAGCTGTATGAACCTTTTGTTGTAAACAAGAGGTTTATCGTTAAACCTTGATCTTTTGTCATCATGAAAGAAATCTTTGGTTTGACTCACTTAGCTTTAGTGTTAGACTAGTCTGAGGAGAAGCTGACAAGGATGGGAAGGACCATCTCTTTCTGAGATAATGAACACAAGTAACACTAAACGCTCTGGCACTCTGGAGGATCTGCCCTTTCATGTCTTTAGGGGATCCAGGCTTTGGGCACTGGTTGCTGGGCCAACGCGTGGGCTGCTAATGCCAAGTGACAGGTTTTATGAAGGAGTTCCCTCTGGCAGGTGTGAGTTAATAGCTGTCTCATGAAGAAGGTATGAGACAGTCACTGTACCCTGCAGCTCCTGGGCAAGCTCCAGATCATTGCAGCAGGATCTGTATGTAGATCATAAATTGTATCATGCACAATCTTTTTTTTTTTTTTTTTTTTTTTTTTTTTTCCCTGCCACAGGGCTGATTAGCAACCCAGTGTGGAGGAACTTAGCCCGCCTTGTTTAAGGGGAAGGGTTTTTTGTGTTGAGCTATTCAAATTTCCAATGTTTAAAGGAAGGAAAACACCTGGTGCAGTCTGACTTTCAGAAGGCTTTTGGTGAGACTCCATATAGGGCACAACTGTAGAACTGGAGTAGGAATGGGTGTCATAAAACAGAAACTGTCTTAGGGAACCGGGCAAGGAAATTTAAAAAGTGCTCTGTGCTCATCAAAGCAGAAGCTGTTTGTGGTTTTCCCAATGTTTTTACTAGTCAAAGGGTAGGGAACTCATCTGCAGATAGGTAGCAGGTAGTGAGCTGGGAAAATCTGCAGGTGGCACAAAGCTATTTGGTTTTCTCTGCCCTTTCAACCTATGTGCTTTGTGGACACCTATGCAGCATGATGGTGGCTGGAAGCCAGTATTGATAACTGCAGAATAGTGCACCTTGAATTTAGGAGCTTAAATATCATCAGCAATTCTTCTGTATTATCAGTATGAAACCACAAAGGGGACCCAAGTGGCATCGTAGTGCAGAAGAGAGCTCTGCTTAATGTTTGGGTTTGGGGACACTCCTTTCCATGAAAAAGACGTAATAGTGATGGGGAAAGCTGCTGAAATCAGTAGTGTTGAGGAGGGAGCCTACAATGGTAATGGAAATTTAAAACAAGTTGAACAAAGATCATGAAAAGAAACCTAACCATGGAAATTTCAAAGAAAACACTGGGGCATTGTGGGGATCAGATGCTGGTGTGGGTAGAACCATACTCAGAGCTGCTAAAAGCTAAGAATAGTAATCAGGAAGTCATTTTGAAAGTATCTTGGAAAAAATTAACCTAAAAAATAACTTAAGCTCTTGAAGCCTTTTACCATAAAGGTTTGACACATGAACATGATAGTGGGGGAACACATCAGCTGTGGGAAGAGTCTGGCTCTGTCTTATATGTACTAGTTTACATTTACTGTAGGCTGGTGAGGAGAGGAGGAGGGGAGGAATGAGGGTGGGTACTCAGACTGCTTCTGTGGAGGAGCTGGCATACAATTAATTTGTCTTTCATCAGAGTTACAGAAGGCCATTTCTTCAGCCTTGAAATTGTCTTTGGCTTTTTTTGGACCTTTCTTTTGGTTTTAAAAATATTTGTAGTTGTTAAAATGTAGACCTAAGAGCCTTGTGTCTTCTTGGTCTTGAACTTGCTAGTGCCTCAGAAGTAAAATGACCTTTAACTCCTGCTCATCTGTATATTGAAGGAGTGTTCTATTCCTTTTAGTCAGGCTCTTGTTCTGGAAGCTTATTTTGAGTAGCTTATGTCTCCAGACAAAAGTGGTCACATTTACCTTTTGCTTTTGCCATGACAGATAGTGGAGGAGTTACGGGACCGAATCTTGCAGCTGCGCTTTCCCCACAGGGTTCAGAGCAAGGAGGCAACTCCAAAAGCAAAGAGGAAAATGTTTGGCAGTAGTTCTCCCTCCAAGTCTCCACCTGTGGCTGGGGCCCAGTCAGCCCTCTCAGACAGACCCTGCCTCGTTGTGCTGCACAAACCATTGGAGAAGCTACTCATCAGGTAGTGATGGAGATCCACGCCATCAACACAGCCTCCTTGCTCTGGGAAGTGGGAGAGAGGGGGGTCTGTGGATGGTGCTGCCTGTTGCAGGATGAGAGTGCTGTGAAGCTGGTGCTTGTTGGGGTGGGTTTGGGTTGCGTGGCTGGGAATGGCAGCTGTAGTCTATGAGGGTTGTGACTTGCAGCAGGGGGCCTTGCTGGACAGGCAGATTTGTTACTCCTAACTAATACAATGCAGAAGTAAATTTAGTTACTGCTGTCTAAGCAGGATCCTGTGCTGGGCTAGCCATGTTCTGCTGTTGGAGGGCTCTGTCCTGGGCCCAGCAAGTGGGCTATGAATCCAGACAGCTCTGGCCCTGAGCAGAGCATTCTTTCCACTTCAGCAAGCCACACTTCCGTCCTCTCCTAGGTATGAGAAGCTGCCTTCGGACTATCGAGCCCCCTTCATTCTCAACCTGGAGCATCCCCCGGTGTCTGGCCCTCTCACTATGGTGGCCAATCGTACTGCCTCTTCCACCCTGGCCTCGCTGTCCCGCTACTTCTATCACCAGCGTTGGATCTGGAGTGTCCAGTCAGGGCTGGCACCGGCTGTGCCCATCACTGCTGTAGCCCAGCTCCTTTCCACACTCACAGAGTAAGTTGCACACCTGAATGGGGGTTGCTTTCTCCAGCTAGTCCTGGGGATGTAGAGGAAACAGTGCGGATCTGAGGCCTTATTATAGGTAACAGTTGAAGCTACTGTGCAGAGGGTTTTGGTCCTGTACACAGCTTCTCGAGCTACTTGCGCCAGTGCTTTACCCAGTTCGGCAGCTGCAGTTGAGGAAAAGGAGGGTCCTGGAAAACATACAAAAGGGCAAGAGGTGTTGCTGTGCCTGGAGTATGCTGGTCTTTACACAGGCTGTCCTGTGCAAAGTGTCACATCTCCCCATTCTCTGTGTGTAGCTCCCTGTCTTGAGAAGGAAGGTATTGTGGGGTGAAGGGTACAGTCATTCTTGTATTTAATGCTTGCAGTATGGGTAAAGAAGTCCTCCATGTCTGACTGCCTCTCTGTTGCCAGGGTTCGTCTGTCAGAGGGTTTCCACTTTGCATCCAGTGGGGATGGAATTATCAACATGGTGCTGGAGCTGCCCATACAGGTGAGCCTGGGTTCTGCAGTGTGGACTCAATCCTTCATTGCTTCTTCTGAGCTGGATTCACCTTCCTGTGATGGGATTTCCCATCCACTTCTAGCACACGCCCTTGACATGTACAGGGAGACCTGCCTCTTCCCCTGAAGTAAAGCAGCTTGTGGGTTGGGCATTTTCCTGTCTTCATCTGCAGTTAGAGAGCTGCTTTGCTGGTAGGGACATGTTGTGCTGGAGGAGTTCTTGGGGCTGGGACAGGCTCCCTCTCTCCACTGCTACTAGTGGAGCTGGATGGTGGGGCTGTGTTGTGTAGGGGGGGCACTGGGTAGGTGTGGGCGGTCTCTGCTGGCCAGGCTCATGCAGTGTCTCCCCTCCAGATCGACGGCTCAAGTGAGAGCAGCAGCAGCAGGGAGAAGCACACCTGTGTCGTCCAATACATCCTCTTCCCACCCCACTCCACCTCTACCAAGGACAGGTGAGGCTGTTGCCCTGCTTCCAGGGAAGGCTGGCAGCAGAGTCACGGCTCGAGACTTGCCTTTGGTGGGCAGTGTGGGAAGGAGGGAGTCCTCCATCATCTAGTACAGACAACTAGCTGTCATGAATTGATCACCAGTTAGCTGGGGTTTTGCCTGCAAACCTAGGGTTTGTGTGGCTGCTCTCACAGGTCTGAGAGGAGCTGCAGTGGGGTGCTGGCTCTGTGCCATCTCGCAGGACTTGCCTTATGTCTTTCCTCCAGCTTTTCCACCGATGATGACAATGATACGGAGGTAGAGGCCATTGAGGTGGACACAGAACTGAACCTGGTCACTGAGTGCTGGGTAGAGCCACAGAGCGGCCATGTCCACAGTACTGCTGAGAACTGGAAGCACCTCCATGGCTTGCCCTACCAGAAAATACCTAAAGCGGTGAGTCAATGAAGGGGTAGCGGCATGGGCTCTTTTGTGGAGGGAGAAGGGTTTATTGCAAGTGCACTGTGACGCTACAGGTGAATTATTGAGGGCCAGAAGAGATGGGAATTCTGTTAACAAAAGAGCATGAGATTTCTAAAAGAGGAACTGGGCTACTGGACAGAAGAAGTTTCTGGATTGCAAAGCAGTGGATGCAATGCTGCTCTGGGATAGGTAGGAAAATACAAATTACTATGTCAAGAGCCATTGCATTGGAGGGGAGCACACTGACCAGAGCAGGGGTTGCAGGCAGTACTGCCAATGCACCTCCTGAACAAGGCAAAAAGAGGCTAACGGGCTGGTGGAGAAGGAGGGAGCAATGAGTGAGAATAGGGCAAGTCAGGGGACAGGATTATGGGTGTTTCCTCTCCTTGCTTTTAGACTGTTTTCCCCTGCATTTTGGGGTAATAATTCTGCTGCATGCAGCTGAGCCTTGACTGCTTATTGCAGCTCTATCCCCGGGACCTTGCGTGTATTGCCACCATGCTGACCTTTGAGTACATCAGCCAGTTGTGCCAGAACAAGGAGTGGGTCTGCCCTCCTTCAGACACCAAAGCTACTGAAGGTGAGTCCGGCCTATATGTCCTAGCAGGTTTGATGGAGCAAGAGGCAGCTAGGCCCTGAATGTCTCAGGGCCTGTTAGAGGTTTCTGGAAGGTGGAACGAGTATTTTGACAACGACTTTCTAGACTTTGATGGCTGTGGGTCACTTTATTGCACTTATGCTAAGTTGCCAGAGAAATGGCTTCATCCTGGAAAGGCCGAAAAAGCATTGAGGCTTTCTGCCCAGGCTGGAGAGGTGATTAGGTGACCCTGCTTGAGCAGGGGGGTTGGACCAGATAACCTCCTTTCTGACCTCAACCATTTTTTAATTCTGTGAGTGGGGCTGACTTCTGGAGCAGATGGAAGATGAGGTCACCTATACAGTGACGGGCAGGGTATACCTGGGCAGATGGTTGTACAGAAGTTGTAAATGATGTGAAGGAAGAGCTCCTCTGTTCTCAGTTACAAGACAGTTTCCAGAGCAGTTTGTGGGATGCTTGCTTTCTGGTGGTCCTGTTCATCTCTGGACCCTCTGTGAATGCTCCGTTAGCCCACAAAGATAGGGAAGGGCACCTTAGGAGGTCTGGTCTGTCCTCTTCCTTTGGAATAGGATTGTTTATCTGATCTGAAATGGTTAACATAGTTCATTGAGAACTCCAGGAGCATGTGGGGGGTTCACCCTTGTCAGGCAATTTGTTCCAGAACCTCACTATTTTTGCTTTCTTGTCACGAGTTCACCCCATCCTAGATCTTTTGTTTGTTTGCCTTGCAGTGAATAACACAGCAGATATTGGGTGGGTTTGAGGGAGTCAGGATCATCCCAAAGGCTGAGGGCAGGACCTGAGGGAACCCTATTGGATCATATCACTGGCCCTGTGGGAGCAGGAGAGGGCCAGGGAAGCTCAGGGCCTGGAGGGCAGAGACTCCTTCCTGAGGAAGAGGACAGGAAACGCCTGCAGGGATGTGCGGAGCCTGCCAGATAGGAGATCTCTCCCAAGAGCAGGGGGATCCTTGTCCCTGACTATGCTGGTAATTCAGGCTGCCTCTGGCTCCCAGTGTGGTCATTGCTCTCCAGCAGTGTTACCTGTGTCACTGGTGTTCAGTTTTTGTCCCCTGGCATCTCTGGGCCCGAGCTGTGTAAGGCCTCATGGTGGCTCACGGTCCCTCCTTGTATGAAGGCAGCAATAAGCCCAGGGGCCTCTTACAGCGAGGTGCCTCTCTGCAGGTAGCTCACAACCTGCTGCAGCCCCCGGCAGGCTTTGCCCTTGCCCCACATTCATTCTTTGTATCTCTCTGCCCTCCTAAGCAGAGGGAATTGGGGCAGTGTTGCCGTGTACCTTCACAGCCTTGTGCTACCTGCACTGCGTTGAGGGCTGGCACCATGTGTGCGGAGGTGGCCTGGGAGGCAGGGCTGTGTGGTGCCCACAGGCATGTTACATTCCCAATTCTTGTTACAGATCCAGACATGGGAGCTGGTTTTCGAGTTCATGAGATCCCATTCCAGTTCAACCTCATGAAACTGTTGCCCAGGTGCCAGCAGGTTGAAATGTTCTTCCTAATGCTGACAAAAGGTAGGTGCCTCTTCGCCACCTGCCTCCTCTTGTCCTCCCTCCATGGCTATGGGCACCCTGCTCTGTGTACTTGTCTCCCTGGGCAGCAGGCATGTGACATGCCTCTTTCAGTAGTTCAGTGCTGTTCTTTCCATCTCTGCAGCCCCAGGCTGTCCAGGTATATTGCTCTCTTTCTTGGGATGATAGTTTTGGAAGAGTTACTTTTGAAAACATTAAACCTAGACTGTTGCTCTTTGGTGGTGGTTTCTTGTCTTTAGCCCCAAACATCTCCAGAACAGTTACAGAAGCAGAGTGAGTCAGTGCAGGGTAGCTAATGATGCTGGAACTCCAGGGCTTCCTCAGCACCCTCCAAGTCAGCCTTGCAGAGGTGCTGGGGGAAACTCCTGGCTATGTGGAAGTGTCACTTTGCAAAGGGCTATCTCCTGGGGGCCTGGGCAGGTGGTGGCTGTGGAGATGCTGTCTCTGAAGCTGCCATGGTTCTGTTTTGGAGCAGAGAATGAGGAGGTGACCAAGGACTCTTCGTCTGTGCCCAATGAAATGCTACTAAACCTCTTCCATGGCTGCCTGCAGCATGACCTCAGTGACCGGGAGATCCCCATGGCTGACGCTGATCATGTGGCTTTCATGGAGCAGGTTCTGCAACGGGACCGTGATGGCCATCAACCTCCCTTCACACTCCCTGTGATCAGAGGTAAGGGCCAGCAGCGTGGCAGCAGTGACACTGGGAGCTGGGGTGTCTCAGAAGCCTTGCTTTCAAGTCTCTTCCTCAGCTGGTGTTTCCCAGGTTGGTTTCTCTGTGCTTCATTTCAGAAGAAACCCTGAAAGCCTCTGGGACCCTGGAGCAGCAGGATGCTTCTGCATCCTATCATCTTGTTGGCAGCAATGGCACCAGGGATATGACTGGCTCCACAAGTACTCTGCAGGTACTGCTACACTTCTGTCCTCCTGAGCTCCCTCTGAAGGCAAGGCAGCAGCTGTTGAAAAGCAGGAGAGTTAGTAGAAGGGCTGAGAACAGATTGAAAGGCTGGTGTTTTCCCCATGCTTGGCAGCAGTTTAAGCTGTAGCCTGTGGCTGAAGTCAAGCAGGGATCTGGGAGGTGTGTGGATAGTTGCACTCACCATGGGCCTAGCCTGTTACAGCAGCACTGGTGGTGTGCCGCAGATTGCTCAGAAACCATGGGCAATCGCTGCCTGGAGGTCAGAACCGGCCCCAGCAAAGCTGGCTAAGCATCTCCTGACTGTGTTCTGTATTTCCTGGAGCCAGGCTGCTCTGAGAATGGTGCGGGGGGTGGCCAGGGTGATTTGAGCACTGTGCCGACCAGCAGTCATGGAGGAACTTGCTCTGTGTGGTTGCTACCTGCCTTAAGGTAGGCCTGTGCCATGTGCTGTGAGCTTATCCAGCTTCTGCTCTTTCATCAGAGCCTTGGCAACACAGAGCTGCCTGAGGATGACGTGACCCTGAGTGACACGACGGGGCCCTTTCCTCCACAATGGCGATGTTATGCCAAGCTGGTCAACCCGCAGCACGTGTTCCTGACCTTCCTGCCAGCCACCTTCTCAGGTGAGGCCACCTGTTGTGGGGAGCAAGAGGAGGTGGCAGTCCCAAGTGCCTCCTCAGGAAAACAGCAAAAGCAGAATCAGCTCTGGTAGGATGGAGAGAAAATTGAACGGTGGAGTCTAGACTCAGTCTTTTTGCACCACATGGCCAGGAATAGAGTAGTGCAAAGTGCTGAATGCCTTGCTCTTCTTTCCTTGGACATGGTGCTGCACCCATAGTGTTTTCAGGCAGGGGATGTGGCTTCGAGTCATTTGCTGGCTGCAACCATTGAACCGTTTTCCCAGTAGGGTTGTTAATGAATGGAGTAAGGAGACTGTTAATGGGATGGTCTGAGAGAGTCCCCACTTCTGGGCATTGACACTGGCCTGGCTTCCACTGAGCTGCTGGTGAAGGCTGCTAGGCTCAGCTGGAAGTACTCTGTGGAGCTGCTCCCACACACAAAGAGGTAGCAGGGACATCTGCCCTCTTGGGAATGTAGATGGAGGGGTTAAACTGGGCAGAGGGTGATTTTGTTTTGTTTTCTTCCAGATGTACAGAAGCTGATGGCTTGCGGGTTGGACAAACCTCCAAAAGATGAGAGTCGATCTGGAGAGGATACCCCAGGACCTGTCTGTGCAGAGCGAGTCAGGGCTGAGGCTGAAGAAGAGGATGCTGCAGTGCCATTGCCTACCCTCAGCATAACACCAGCCCACGGTACCGCCCTCAGGACAGCACCTTGCTTATATATTAGTAGAATCCTTGGTATTCCTGAGCACGCTGTTGGGCAGATTGAGATAGAAGGAATAATAGGCTGCTACATCCTGTCAGCTCCTGCTTGGCAGTCAGCAGAGTCAGAGTCAGGACAAGGTGCACAGTGAAGCCTCAGCCAGCTTTCATGATGTTCCTGGCGGGGTGAGGGAGTCTAATGTGAACTGAGTGCCTGTGGCCCAAGGCTGGCTCCCTGTGGGCAAGGAGGTTGCAGATAGAAGCTACTAGGAATGGCAGTACTGGGCTGCAGTGGAAAGTCAGTGACTCTCGTGTCGTGATCCAGACTGGCACTACCAGCAGCACGTTGTCTTAGAGATAAGTTCTTGAGGTATATGGGATTTGATTGCACAGCCCCTGCTGCAGTCAGCCAGGCCTGCAATGAGGATGGAGGGTTGTGCTGCTGCAGAAGGTGGAGATGGTGGTGACGAACAGTCATGGCTGCCCAAGAAGGGCATCAGTGTGGCCAAAGCACTGGGCTGAGTGGTTGGGTGCTGGGTGAGGAGAATGGCCCCTGAGGCTGGAGTGGTGAGAAGCTTGTAAAATCAATACCTACCTGTGGGTGCTGCTGTGAGGGATTGTGAGCTGTCAGATCAGGAACGAGGAGCCCATCAAAGGCCTTTATCTCAGAATTGTTTCTTCTGCAGAGGTGAGCCGTGACCCTGGAGAACCGGGTGGCCCCTCGCGGAGAGACGTACATATCTCCTTCTGTCGCCAGAACTCGCAGTCTGAGCTAGGTGAATGCCGCCGATTTCGCTGCCCCATTTACATCTACAGCTGCTCTTTGGAGCTGTTGCGAGAGCAGCTTGTCAGCCCACGGGCACACCGTTCCCCTCGGGACATCTTTTTCAGGTAATACCAACCATACTTGATTCCTAGACAGGAAACAGAGGAGGTTCCTTGACAAGAGGCTGCCTTATTCTCTTGGCTTGGCCTCACTGCCTTATAGCAGCCACGGCCTGTGAATGCCCTAGGGCCCTGCTTTACTGGTACCAGAGCCGTTTATAGTCTAAAATGTGCTTCATTGGTGCTGAAGGCTGCGGCTCCTCTTTTCCAGGTCCCAATCTCTGGAACGTCCTCCTACTGCTGCTTGGCTAGACCACAAGCATAAGGAGTTGGTGAGTTACTGCACGCTGCTGCAGGAGCATTCCCACCAGTGCTATGTGAAAGGTGAGGAGTGGCGTGATGGGAGCTGAGACAGGGTTGGGGTTGGGGCTGAACCCTGGATCTTCTTTTAAGAAAGCAACGTCTCATTTTTCTTGTGATCTTACACTGAGCAAAGGGAGGAGCTGTGGGACTGATCTCCCACCAGGAGCGATTTAAAGATGCCTCTGTGCATTCCCTATGGGCCTTGCATAGGCTGTTCCTGGACCTGTGCAGTGCTGTGGAGGGGGGTCCCTTCTTTGACTTTTTCATCTCACCTTCAGGGTGGCAGATCCCTAGGCCACTCTGGCATGACACAAGCCCAGGCTAACGTGTAGCATTAGTCATCCTGGCTGAGTCTTGTCTCCCAGCACCTATGCTGACTGCAACTCTTTATGTGCCTATTGCCTGACTCCCGTGGCCTTGCATCCTTGCCGTGCGGTGCTCAAGCACTGTGTTTGATCTGTAGGGCTGTTCAAGAGCCTTCAGCAGTCACACAGCATCAGCTCCCAGGACCTACTTACAGCCATGGACTACTGTGAGGAGCTGCTCCAAGAGATTGATATCACCAACTTCCTGCTGACGGTGTGCAGCCATGTCCGCTCTTTCCGAGAGAGCCATCAACATTTCCGTACGCACTCCAAGACAGCCAACTTCCAAGTGGGCAGCATAGAGCAAGAAGAAGAGCAGAGCTCTAGGGAACGAGGTGTCTTGGTCTCTGAATCAAGGTAGTGGCCCAGCTTGGTCTTGCTTGTTCTTAGCATTGGGCCAGGACAGATCTTTCTTCAAGCATCTTCTGTTGCCTGCTAGAAGGAATGTTGTAGGGCAGGGTCTAACAGAGCCACATGTAAGAACAGATATTTCCAGTGGGATGCCCACCTGGTATGGTGTCCACCAGGACCTTCTCTTTTTTATTATCTCTGGTGACATCCATCTTTTTGCTTTCTCTTGTAATCTAAGCTCATTACTGTCCCATCTGGCCTGAGCTGGAGGGCAGTTTGTCTGAAAGTAACTCTCAGACTTGTTTCTGGAGAAATTACGCATCTCCTGCTGCTTGACTCATTTCAGTTTGCTGTTGATTCTGGTGAAAATGACAGGTTTGTTGTCATTTTGTAATGAATAAAATGTCATTCTTTTTTTAATTAAAACTGTGGAAAAAAATTCACAAGAGAAATATCAAGGCAGAATTGGAATATGCTTGATGCTAAACTTCTGTCCTGCTATACCTTAGGGTATTTCTGAGATTTGTATTGCCTCTGGAAACTTAGGGAGGGGAAAAAGTACTCTATTGTGCCTTAGTGTCTGTTGAAGAAACACCCTCTTTAGGTCCTTTGTCCTCTGTTTGCACTTGACTATCCTCAGTTCCTTTATGTGAATTCACTAGTATTTGTTGGGAATTCACAATCCTATTTCTTCTTATACTGTAAGTCATCGATACGAGGCTGTGGTTTTGAAGAACACTCAGTGTTTGGAAAGTCAGATGACTTCTTCAAGTGCCACTTTCCCAGAGAAAAACTGTGGGAACTGTTTTTTGTTTGTAAAATATTACGAATCATCTATCCCAATGTAGATTTCATAAGCATTACTGAAGGACGTACGGCTTGTGACACGTTGCACCCAGATCTGCCACCTGTATTACTAATTGGAATACCTGAGGAGTCCTTTGGCCAAATGGCATCCCACTCCCCAGATTGCTTTTTCTGAGTTTTAAGAACTGATTCTGTTATGGAGCTGCTGAGTGAGCATGGGCCTGAGCTTTGCGCTCTGCTCTGTGCTGCCAAGACACTAGTGGTGCTGGGACGGTGGTATTTGCTATGAGGTGCCCTGGACTGGGTGTTGGTAATTCAGATTGCTCCAGGCCTGTCCCTGTACTCCGCCACGTGTCTCTCTTTCCCAGGGAGGGTGTGTAGTGTGGTGGAGAGTACCTGGCCACGGGATCAGCATGGTTAAACTGCCTCTGGCCTGGCTTCAGACAGCCTGAGCGCTTATCTGGGTTAGTGGGTGGCAGGAGGGTTTCTGGGGCTCTAGGGGTGGGGGCTGTGTAAGTCACATCATGTTTACACAGATGAGGTGTGGGGAGCTGTGAGGTGGGATGCTTGCAGGGTAGATGATACATACAATTATTCCCATTTCTCGATTTGCCTGTCTGACCTGTCCACAATCCTGTCAGTGCGGAAATGGAGGACTACAGCGAGCAGGACTCCCATAACATTTCTAGCCCCACAGAGGAGCCAAAGAGTACGGGCACCAGCTGCTGTTCAGAGTTTCCCCTCTCGCTGTTGGAAATTGGACAGCCCTGCCAGGCGCACCCTGACCTGCATAAAATTATCCAGGTGAGGAACATGGGAGCTCGGCTTGGCTTCTGCAGGAGGGTAGAGTGGAATGTCTGCTTCATGTTTGGGATTTGTCTTTTAGGAAAAATTCCTGGAAATTGGAAGTTTACATTTCAAGCCGGTGCCATCAAATCCTCACTATTTCTTCTATTGCCCACCATCAGCCAAGAAAGAGGTAGGCAAGGTGCTGCCTTGGCAGAAACCTAGTCCTTGTGGAGGGAAGTAGCTTTGCTTGGTGTCAGATCTGGATTTGGGGCTGGCAGACCCATGGGTAGACTGAGCCCCTGGGGGGCCCATCAACAGTCTGCTTTGCTGCCTGGCCTGGTTCTAGTATCTGCCCTTTCTCTCTCCATCTCAGGAGGAGGCATCTCGAGATCAGGCAGACAGGAAAGGCAGTGAGGACATGGAGGGATCAGAGGCAGAAACGGCAGCTGAAGAAGGTAACATTTGCTTGGTCTGTCCTAGAGAATAAAGTGTCTATAGTTTCACTGTGGTGATACCTTTCAGAGCTTGACTGTGTCTGGTGGGGTCTCTGGGAACATGGGCCTGGTTTGCTAACAGGGAACCTGTGTCAACAGGAACTGTATCTGGGTGCTGCATTGCCACAGAGAGCGACCCAGAGCTAGAGGTGGAGTACCGTGAGAAGCTGGAGCACGAGTTCCCAGATACAGATTCCCTCTCGGACTCCAACACAGTGAACCAGGATGATGACTCCTTCAGCGTGCTGGGAGGGGACTCACTCAATGAACAGGAGTTCCTGGAGCAGGAGATGCCCCCACTCTTTGTACACCTCACCTGCTCAGTGAAGCTGCGTAGCCAGCACAGCTCCATGCCCGTGCAGTCCCTGCCGACTTGTCTAGGTAAGAGCAAACCTTGCTGTGAGCTTAAAGGGCAGCAGGGCTTCTGTCAGGTCCCTGCTGGGTGAGCAGCCCCTGGAACAAACATGTTGTGTCCTAAACAGCAGTCCCTCTGGACCAGCCCTCCCTGTATGGAGCCCCCAGGGTCTCCCAGCATCAGACAAGGGCTTTTTCACCAGGTCTCCCACTTGCTGTAGGATTGGTCATGGAAGGATGAAACGATCATGGAGGATGGTGGCCTTCTTGAGCCTGTCCAGACATGTGGGACAGACACCTCTTGCAGTCTCTGTACTTGTCACCAGGCTGTGTATGTGTGTAAGCAGATCTGTTTGTTGCTTGATTCTCTCTGTGATCTCTCCTCAGGCGAAGTTCTGGGCTGCCTGGAAAGCTGCCAGGACTTGAACACCATTGACTTGGGGGACCTCTGTGTGACCCTGGACATCTTCGTGCTGACATTGCCCCTGGAGATAGAAGTAGTGAACGCAGACATTCTCCACAACAGGTAGGTGGAAAGAGGCCCAGTCACTCACTCGCCCTCTGCCTGCCCTTCCCAGCTAGCCAGTCTTAGCTCCTCTTCATGTGCTGAGACTTGGGATTCTCCTCACAGAGCCTCCCACAGCCCTAAGAAAACTAAGATTTTTCCAAGATGGTCTCACCTTCTCTAGAGATCACTTTTCCCTCTCTGGAGCCTGTCTGTTTATCCTCTCTGGCTCAAAAGCTGATGCTCAGCCTTCTCTCTCTCCTGTGGCAGATGCACCTCGGAGAGTAGCGTGTCCTTCACACGCTCTCCAGGGCAGCCATCCTCTTTCCGTTCAGATGAGGATATCATGCACAACTTGGAACGGCTCCCGTCCACAGGAGATGAGAGGTATGGTACTGCAGATGTAGCAAGCCCTTCATGGGCTCCTGTTGCTGCCTAAGAGCTGCACTGTAGTGGCTGCATGAATGAGAATGACTGGTTGATTCTTCTTCTCTCTCCTAGGCACCCTGCACTTTCCAACCTCCCTGGAGTGCACAGGCAGGCTATTGAAGCTACTATGAATGAGGTAAGCCAGCCTTGCCTACTTCTTGCTTCCAGCTGGAGTAATGTGTCTACAGTGCACAACTGCTGTGCCACACTTCCTAGCCTGGTCCAAGCTACAACCTCTGTCAACTGAAGTGACTTTCAGGCCTTGCTGGTATCACACAGGCCATTGGCCTTGTGCTCCCCAAAAGTGTGGGATTACTCTGATAAAATTATTAACTGCAGTTGGAGTGGGACAGTCAGACCTCTCTTCCAAAGACCTTTTCTTAGGTACATTCAGAAGGAGATGAAGGGATGTAGGTGATGAGAGGGGCTGCCCTCATCCTGTTGGGACTTGCATCAGAATTGGGGCAGCTGTGCAAATGCTGGTCACCTCAGTCTCGCTCTGTGTCCTTGCTCTGCTCAGATTCGCTGGCTCCTCGATGATGAGATTGTGTCTGCGCTGCGCCACTCGCAGGTCATCAGCACCTCCATCCTGCACCGAGTGGCCACCCACATCTATAACTCCAAGGGGCGTCCCAGCTGCCACAGTGAGGTGGTGCTGCTCCAGTTTGTCTTTGGACCTGAGCACTCTCTGGAGAAGTTCAAGGAGGTAAAGAGAAAGCCCTGAGGCAGCGTCATAACACTTAGCTAGCGGGATGCTTATTCTTCCCTGTGTTGCAGGAGTTCAGAAGAATGTCTCTGCCAGGCTACATACTCAATGCAGAAGGCAGTGACTACCACTACATCTCCATCAGCCGCCTGCACTCCAGGCGGGCAGCTCCAAACCCTTCAGGGACACCCTGCTTGCAGCAGCCAGCTGGAGGGGGCACCAGGACAGCCCTGGGCCAGGTGGGCCAGGAGGGGAGCAGTGAAGCAGAGGCAGAGGGCTCCGAGCTACACCGTGCAAGCTGTGTCCTCCCAGAAGAAGCCCAGGGTCTTTGGGGGTGGCCAGAGAGTGAGACACGCATTGTGCCAGACATAGGAAACCCCATACGTGGAGGCAGCCACAGACAGGATGAGGTGAGAGACACTGAGGTGGTGTATTGGTGGGGAAGTGTGGGACACTCTGGTAATAGAAGGTAGAAGGATGCAGGAGTATGATCAGATATTTTTTGGTGCCAGGTTTTCTGGTAATTTTTGCAACCTTCGCTTGTATGCAGGTCCCAGGAGAAGCGCTGAGTCTTGAGCAGAGCAGAGCACCTGGCCATGACTCCCTGGAGGAGGCAGCTCTAGAGACAACCATACAGTCACTGCCATCCTCATCCTCTGAAAAGGGCAACAGTGAGAAATCACCATTGGTGACACCATCTGCAGCAAGCCTGGCTGACTCTGTAACACAGGGCAGGGAAGGTAGGAGCTGTGAATGTGGGCAGGATGTACCTCAGCCTCAGGAACTTTTAAGGGGAGGGCCCCGTTTTGGCTGTAGCATACAAAGCATGACTGCTATTCCTGTTCCAGTCCTTAAACACCAGAATTGGTGCTGTTGCACTGTTGGTCTCTTCCTTGCCAGGATGCTGGCAATTCACTGCTTAACAGTACCCAAGGTACTAGGCTGCACTGCCACCCTGATAATCCCTAATGACACGAAGTCGTGGTGACTCCAGTAATGGCTGTGACACCCCCATTCCCCAGCACTGCCTCCCCATGGCCAGCGCTGCCTGGTTGTCCTGTGGTGTAATGTTTCTTCAGCAGATGGGTCATGTGAAGGGACTTAGCAAGTGCTCTCATGATCAAACCCCTCTTCTCTTTGCAGGCTCCAGCAAGCAGCGTCCCAGCCGCGTGCAGAGCCTCGTGTCGAGCCAGGGCAGCATGGACTCTGACCACCTGGGTGAGTCTGCTGGGGCAGGGGTGACTGACAGTGTGCAGGCAGACACTGGCAGTGACATGATAGTGTGGGGGCATGGGGGACGGTGTGCCTGGGCTGGGGTGACCCCCGAGCCCTGAGGACAGGGCTTGTGAATGGCTCTGATCTCCTAGAGCCTTCTGTGCCCGGGGAGCAGGCTGGCTTGCCAGGCAGCCTGGGACTGAAGCCAGGTTATGTTGCAGGTTACGATGGGGGAAGCAGTGACTCGGAGTATGAGGAGGCGCTAATGAGTGACCAGGAACCCAGGTGTCCCCTCATGCCGGATTTCTGGCTCATCATAAAAATCCAGCAGGACCGAGTGGAGGTCTATTACCACACACGGTAAGGAGGGTCCCGCTGTCTGGCCATGGCTTCTCTGTATCAGGACCTTATTGCCACTCCCTCATCTCTGGATGGGATCTCCTTCTTGCCCCATGTGGGTGGGGAGCTGCAGGACTAGACTGGTGCTCCATAAGAGGAAAGCAGCCACCCTTCTGCACTGTGTTCCTGCTCCCAGAACCCAGGGACAGGCACTGTTCAGGTGCTCTGCTGACCCCTCTCTCCCCTTCCCTGTAAAGCAGCCTGAGCGTGGAGAAAGCAGAATCAGCAGAGACAGAAGAGGAGCAGCCAGGGGAGTGCCAGAGTCTCAACCAGGTGGTAGTGAAGAAGATCAGTGAAATCTGCAGAGTTGTCAATCAGGTAACAAATCTGCAGAGGGCAGGGCCAGAGCTGCAAGTCATGAGATGGCTTAGATGAGAAGGGACCTCTGGAGGTTGTCTGGTCTGGGCCCAGCTCAGAGGAGGGCCAGGAGAGCCAGTTCAGCTGGTGGAGTCTCAGCTTGAGGGTCAAAGGAAAAGAGACTCGGACTGGCCCTAAGCCCTTCTCCATGCTGTCTTCTGTGGGCTGTGCAAGCAACAGAACCAATCTTTTCTCATTCTTTGCAGCGCTTGCTGCTGCAGGACCTGCATGACAGCCACATATGCAACTCATTACTGGTGGCAGAAAGCGAGGAGGACATCTGGAAGAGTGAAACACCCTATACTTCGTACAGGCAGCGTGTCATGCCCACAGATGGTATGAATATGCCGTTGACCCTGCCTCAGCAGCGGTGCCACTGCCTGCCCATGGGTGACTAAAAAGGTAGTGGCTTCCACACTATAGCCCCAGCTATGTCCTATGTTCTTTGTAGATTACTCTGTGGAGGAGAGCTACCAGCCCCGGGACTACCTGGCTGCCACCATGCAGTTCATGCCAGGGCACTTTGCTTGTGATGTTGTGTGGAGCACACTCATCCATGTGCATTCGCGCCTCAAGATGGGCCCCAACATGGGAGTCTCACGAGGTGCGTACAGCCCAGGTTCCCCCTCATTTTGCGTGTCAAGAGTCTGGCTTCTGGCTGGATTGGCACACTGGAGGAGGGTGTGTGGGATAGCTAACATCCCACGTTGCCCACAGCTATCCAGGCGCTTCGCTCGGTGCTCAACGCCTTCTCTGTGGTGAACAGGAAGAATATGTTTGTCTACCAGGAACGTGCCACTAAATCTGTTTTCTACCTCCGGTAAGAAGCCAGCGTGACTTGTTGGCCTGACCCTGCCCTGCTACATGCATTGCAGCAGACTGAGAGCTCCTTGGGGCAGAAAGTGTGTGCCCAGCCTCAGGGACCCTGCTGTGACCCAAGCAGCAAATATCTGATTTTTGATGAGTCAGAGTCACATCAAGCCAGGCCCCTCCTGCCCTCCCTGTGCTAAGCCTTTACATGGGAGGAAGAAGGGTGATTTTTTTGAGGGAGCCAGAGAGCAATTTTTCCACAAGATCCATATCATAAGGACTAATCCCCAGAAAGTGCACAGGGATCTTCTGTGGAGGTATGATGCTGTCGTCCTTGGGAATGGAGGCTGATATGTCTTTCTCCTGTTTCAGGTTGACTGAAACCACCTACAGTGGGAAGGTGTGGGAAGCAGAGAGCATCCTTAGTCCAGCATCTCGCTCACTGGCACTGACACGCAGCCAGGAGCCCATTTACACTGAGGATCTAATGGTGAGTCTGCTGCTTTCTGGGAGTGGATGTTGGTGCTCTTGGTCACAGGATAGGAGGGAACTCAGTAGTTCCAGCAACCTGGGTTTTATGTAGGATAAAACTTACATTATAGATGTGTGGAGTGGGGCAGCAGTGGGTGGGTTCTGCCTGACTTTGCTGATGGCCCGAGACAGTGATGGATCTAGAATTCATGTGGAAACTGTTTCCGTGTGGCTGTTTTTGCTTCTCCAGGGTTCTCGTTCCTCTCTGGACACAGCCTCATGCCGTAGTGTGGACTCTACCCGTCCTGTGGGACAGGTAGACAGGCACATCCAGCTGATGGTCCATGGTGTTGCCCCAGCAGGTAAGTGTTAACAGCACCCGGCAGCGGATGGACTGTGCTGATGCACAGCAGAGGAATAGAGCTCCAGTCCCTGCCCTCCTTGCTTGAAGAGCAGAGGAGGTATATCCCTCCTGAGCAAGCTGCTTTTCCTTACCCCAGAGCTGTTCTCTGTTCTGTCTGGGTGGGAATGTGAGAAAAGGATCCATGGCCCACAATGAAACCTCCTGCAGACCAGGTGGCTTATGCCAACTTTCCCTCTGCAGGAGTGCATTTGTCTTTGCCTGCTGTACCAGCAGTCTTTTGTGGTCATGAATGGGTAGAAAAAGATGCCTGAAGAAATGGGTGGTGGGGAAAGCAATGTTCCCTGTGGGAAGTGACTGTGAGGGTGGTACATCCTGAACAAGCCAGGGGGGTGGCTGTGGTCATTCTTACTGGATGGGGTGAAAGAGCTGCTTGTACCTCTGCTTACTTGTCAGGGCCTGAGATTACAGATGAGCTGGTGAAAGTGCTGCGCAGACGCCTGGATGAGGCCACCCTGGATATCATCACTGTGATGCTGGTGCGGAACTGCAAGCTGACCCCAGCAGATGTGGAGGTACCTCACTGGATATCTGCTCTGCTCATCCCAGAGCCTGTAACACTTTCCTACTTTTTGACCTGTCTCAGCCTCACCTGCCCCAGGGCAGGGAAGGCCAAGGCGGTTTGCTGCATCCCATTCCCTGCTCCAGTGCTTGCTCAGGCTAGTGTTCACCAAGGTATATACTGTGTGGGCACCAGGGTAAGTGGGAGATCCCCTTTGCTGGGAGTTGCAGCATGGCAGGGCCTCCCTGTGAATACCCCTGGAACATCTGCCTGCCCCTGTCTCAGGGTGCTGTCTATGGACCTGGGTTCTGCCCACCACACTCTTCCTTCACATAGCCAGCTGGCATAATTTGGATCAGTATCAGAGCCCCAGGGCATCCTGCTAGTCTCAGCTGAGTTTTAAAGTCTTCTCTCTGCAGTTTATCCAGCCCCCTGGGACGCCACCCACAGAGGTCCTGCAGTTCGCACTGCCACCCTCCGCCCTGCCTTGGCTGCATGCGGTGGCCTACTATCTGCGCCAGAACCTGCTCATCTTCCTGCACACCCCAAAGTACACGGACAGCAACGTGGAGCACCACTTCAAGGTGAGGAGGGCTGTGAGCTGGGACAGCAGTCTGCCCAGCTTCTACCTGCTGCTGGGGGCATTTGTTGGGGCAGCTCAGTCATTATGTTCCCAGCTCTGCCATGTAGTGTCAGAGAGGAACAGACACTGAATACTGAAGCCTGGAGGAGTTTCACAGGACTATGAGCAGTTCCTGTTTGGCCCCATAGAAACTTGGACAGGCCTTGCTTTGATACAAGTGGTCACTCGCTGTGCAGAAAGCAGCAGCCACAAAGCTCATGCCCACAATCTTCTCCCAGGAGCATGGGAGAAGACCCCCTTGCAAAGCTGAGCTTGGCTTCTTGCATGGCTCTATCAGATGTAAGGACTGAAACACCAGGGTTAATTAAAAGTCTGGGAGCAGCTACCCACCCCCTCACCACAGCTGGAGCAAGGATAGAAGGTGAGGCCAGACGTGTAGTGCCGTATAACCCTGCACAGAGCTGTAGGAGGGTCCTTCTGCCCAACAGTGGCCAAAGCTGTGCTGGCAAGTGTTTTAAATAGGTCTGGATTGCTTGCTACAGGTCTGGGGATGAGCTCTGCGCACACGTGGACCTCTGCTTCCAGTTAAGGCAAGTTCTCTAGTCTCTGTCACCGTTCTTCCTTGCTCTCCTTAGCACTACTTCAACCACAGTGGGAGCGTCCCTGACCAAGATCTCTATCTGTACAACAAGCCAGGTGGCCAAGGCACTGGTGGCAAAGGTACTGTGCTCAACTCATTTCTGTAACAGGGTATGGGGCTGTGTGTTGGAGAGCTGTTTCCCACGTTGGAGAGCTCTGAGTGACTGAGGAGGGCCAGTGTCAGGGCAGCGTGTTCCTCCAGTGGCTGGGAGGTGGGCAAGGTGTGTGCTTGGGGGACCGCATGCCCTTGCATGTGTGGTGGAGTGAGCCAAGGCCTCCCACAGGGCAACTTGCTAAGCTTGGCCTGTTGCTGTAGGAAGCAGCTCTAGGTTGCAGTAGCTGAGGGGGCAAGACACAGCGACACCTCAGTAAGCATGGGGCACAGAGGCTCAGTGGGGCTGGAGCGGGGACCAGGGACAATTGTTGCTAGAGCCTTGCCATGAAGGGGTAGCTGAATGCTGTGTGTAACTGAGCATGGGCTGTGGGGGCAATATCCTTGCTCTTTTCTCTGGACTGCTGGAGGAGGGATTGGATAGGGCCCATCCTGTAGCAGGCTGTCATGTCATGTTTTGTCCAGGCCATGTGGTCTGTCACCTGGCCATCGTGTGTCTCATGTCCCTAGTGCACCGTCTGAATGTTCTTCTGTTATGTAGGTACCATGTCGGACCTTGTGCAGCACCTCTTTCCACTCTCCCACTTCCAAGGTAGCACCTGCGGCTCCAAGTATTACTCCTCCAGTTCCCTTTCCCGTGCAGCTCCCTGGCCCCTCTGGTCCCTGCTGTTCTTGTTTTCCTCGTGCTGTGGCTTCAGCTCTGACTCCTCTGTGTGTTTGTGTATGTGTGTCCATTTAGCTGAGCCTCCTCTTTCTTGCTGGCTGGATAAATGAGCAAACAGACCCTGCTGCCCTGAGATGGCAGTTCTGCAGTCCCCAGATGCTGAGGGTCCATGTGCTGCCCTGTCAGCTTGCAAGCAGTGAACTCCAAAAATCCTTCACCCTTTTTCCCCCACAGGTCCAAACAGGCATCTCCTCCCTGAGGAGGACAGGTTGTGATGTTTCAGCTGTGGTTTCATGCTCCAGGGTTTAGCGTCATCACTCTCCCAGTGGCTGTGTCCTGGGGTGAGGGGTTCCCTTGCATACCAAGGGGCTAGAGCGGCTGGGCACCACTAGATGTGTACTTTGTATTTCAGTGAGCCTGAGTTGGAGGGGGCTCAGAGTCCCCCACAGATGGGAGGCAACAGCTCCCTAGCACCCCACCTCTCCGCAGGATGTGATGGATGAGTATGTAGCCAAACTCCAGTGCACCGGACCGTAAGGTCCTTGGCAGCTCTTGCTAACTTACCTCTTCCCATAGCTCCAGAGCTCAGGTCTTGAGTTTCTTACCCGTGATTTAGTGGTTGTATTTCAGCTTCTCTGTGCTCCTGTAACAAGACTGGAAGCCTTGTTCCCTGCAGTGGGGAGGCTAGCCTTTCTGCTGGTGGGGCAGGGGCAGCCATCATCTCCTCCCCGAGGGACTGAGCCAGCTGCAGGGTGTTGAGTGCTTGGCACTTGCTTGGCAAACCAGCTCTGTCTCTGGGAGCATGTCCAAATGAGGAGTCTGCTCCTGCGGCTGCTGACCTGGCCTGCTTGAAAGCACTGCTGGGGGTGCTCCCTCTGTAGAGCACCTGTCCCAGCACAAGGAGGGCATTGTGCTTGGTTGTTTTCCTGTCCTCACCTGAGACAGACTGAAGCAGAGTGGAGCTACAGGAATGGATATGATAGGGAAACCTGCCAGGGAGGGGGAGGCTGAAGGGGCTCAGTGTGGGAGTTTACCCGGGAGAAGAGGAGAATAACTACATCTTAGTCTACAGTTACCCACATGAACATCCATTGTCATTCTGGTGGGCCCAGGGCTGACTGTCAAGCCAGACAGATCAGGAGTTTGTGCCCTTTACTGTTTAAAGAGAGAAAGTCTGTTTGGGAGGGCTCATACTCACTGTCACGTGGGGCAGGTTTGCTGTTCTGGGTGAAGTCCTGGTCCCCTCTACCTTTGACATTTAGGAAATTACGAAATTCTCCATTGTTTGCTGGATAAAGGGTTGTTCCTGTGCCTGTTTGGGGAAAAGAGATGTCAGAGCCTGCTGCAGAGCACCTCTGAGATAAGGCAGCTCCTGCACTTCCCTTCAGGTGCAGGGGTGCTCATAGGTGTAGAGTTCCCTTTCCTCGGTGTGAGTGCAAGTGAGCTGCCCTCTGACTTGCATGGCCACCTCTCTCCTTTGGGAGCAGCTTTCTCCATCCCAGTGCCCTCTCCCTTGCATCTGGCACATGGAGGAAAGGTTGCTGCAGAGCTTACGCTTCATTAGGAATGATGGAGACCAGGTGGTTGTGCTGCTGATTAGTCCTGGGCACAGTCTGCTGGCGCTTGGATTTGTCTCAGCACAGGGAGGGCACCCATCCTTTATGTGATGCTGTGGATTCAGTTGGGTGCAGTTTGGTTGCTCTGTGGCAGCAGAGTCTGGTGTCACTCCCATCCTTGCTGGGATGGAGAAGGGCAGGGTATGGGCTCAGCAATGCTGTGGGGCTGAGGTGGTTTGCATTGGGACACATCACCCTTTGGTAGCGTTGGGGCAGCTTTGCCATCTAGTGACCTGAGTGTTGGCTTAGTCAGTCAAGGGGCTTTGAAACAGGGTGGGAGCATCTAGGGTTACAGCATGGGGCTCGGACCTCACAGCTGCATCCCTGCTGCTTCACTGGTGCCCTGGCCAGCGAGCTGGGCCATGGGGAGCGATGTCCTATTTCCACTCTGGTCTGTAGCAGGGCTTCTCCTGTGTGGCCCAGGCCATGCGGCATGTGGGCTGTGGAGCAAGCACCACACTGCTGCTCTGCATCTCTGAACTGTCCTGTTGTGCATGCATAGGGCTCAGCGTAGAGAGGCTACAGGCAGGGCCTAAATTTTACTCTGCAGCAACTCCAGGCTAATACTACGTGTCAACCTGCTTTGTCCCCAGCCTTGCTGGTAGGAGTGTGTGGAGAAGGCCTCAAGATCAGATCTTGTACAGTGGGGAGGGGGTCGTGAGTGCAATCTGCAACAAGGTGTCATGTATACAGCCTTCCTCTGCAGGGACTCGAGGTCCTTCATAGCCTGGAGAGGGCTGCTGGATGGTATCTGGGCTCTGTACTCCGTCCCTTAAGAGGATAGGGATGGTGAGTCCCATCCTGGATCTCTCTGCATAAAGGCCCTCCTGGGGCAAATGGAGACACTTTCCTGTTGCATATGGGGCTGGACAACCCAGGAAGCTCCTGCAGGACAAGGCAAAAGCTGCTGTGATGCTGCAGGAGATTTGATTCTTGGGGCTATGGGGTCACCTTGTGCCAAACACCATGCTTCTCACCCTGGCTCCCCACAGGCACAGCTAGCCTCTGCTCCCCTGGCTGCATCCCCTCCTGTGGGCCCTGCCTGCCATGTGGCACTGTGCAACCCAAGTGGTGACACGACGGTCCCAGGTGTGGGGTGGCAAGCTGTAGGCAGGGCTTGTAGGGGTGCACCCAGTGCTGGGCTGATGGAGGCTGTCTTGGGCTCTCCCCCTCAGGAATTGCATGCATTGCACTGACTTTCGTGGATGAGCATGGCAGCCCAACCTTGCTGCCCCACGGGGAGAGGCCTGACCCTCTGAAGCTGCCTTCCTCCTCGCCCATTGTTGGCCTGCTGCAGGACGCCGACTTCGAAAGCCTCACTGCAGTCAGCAGGCACCAGCCAGAGGCTGGCACCCTGCATTCAGGTAGGGAGTGAAACAGGCCACAAACTGGCAATTCCCTGCTGCCTCCACATCCCCTGGGCCACCTAGGAGGGCTGGTGAACGTGGAGGTGCAGAGCCATGCAGGACTGCCCTTTCCTTGCAGAGCCCCGCGTGCTGGTGCACCTGGATATCTGGGAGAAAGGCAACATCAGCCTGCTGCAGCTGTCGGAGAAGCTGCGCGGGGCCCTGCGCCATGCTCTCTGCGATGCCGTCATGGAGTTCCTTGTGCTGCCGGCCCCGCTCTGTGTGGAAGCTGCCTGCCCCCTGGGTGCTGCGGACCTGGAGGAGCTGAGCTCTGCGGGTGAGAGCCCCGCTGGGACGGCCACCCCAAGCCCCCAGCCAGCCTTGCTCCTCCTGCCTGGCCTACGGGAGCTTGGCTGTGCTAGGGGAACTGGGGCTGAGGGGGCTGGGAGGGAGGAAGCAGCTCTCCCCTCTGCAGGCTCTGCTGTGTGATGTCTCAGGGAAGAAGCTTTATAGAAATTAGGGTTGGAAGAGATATTTAAAGGCCTGTCTGCTCCCCAAAACTGAATCTACCTTGCTGGGTGTTGTTGAGGGCTCTCTTCCTTCTTTCCAGCCAGGCTCTGGCCAGCCACAGTGGAGTACACGGGGGCACCAGCAGTGTTGCAGTGGGAGGCTCTGGAGAGTCTGATTTGCTCTGTCTCCACAGGAGGCCTAAGGAGGACCATGTCAGAGACCAAGGGCTTGGCCCTGGCCACTGGTGGGGCTGGCAGGAGCTGTCCTCCACCCTTGCACTTCACCTCTGCCCCTTCATCCAGCTCTGGGGAGCCAGTGACACCCACGAGCAAGCTGGGACGCCGCAGCTTCTGGGACATGCTGGTAATGTTGTTGAGGGACCAGTGGGGAGCAGGGCCTGTAAGTCCTCATGGTGTGCCAGGCCAGGAGGAACGGAGAGGAGGGATCTGGCTGGGGTCTGGAGGCTGGGCTGGTAGTGGGGACTTTGAGATCAGGGTGCTGGCTGGGCTGCGCATGTGCACAGCCTTAACTCACCCCCTTCTCCCTAGAGCAAGGCAGAGTCCTCGGAGCTGGGCAGCCCCAAGACTACTGATGACATTGTGCTGGAGAGACCAGAAGAGGCTCGCACAAGGCGACGGCACAAGACTGAGAGTGTCAAGCAGCATCTGAGCCAGGATCGGGCCACAGCCACAGCTGAGCTGGAACAGGCACAGAGGCAAGCACAGCCTGCAGGCCAGGCAGCTGGGGTGTTGTTGCCCTCCATCTGCTGTACAGTGCTTCGCAGCCTGACATCCTGCTGTCTCTGCCTGCATCTTAACCCTCTGGACCACATTCCCTTTCCTTGCAGTTTCTCCCTTACACAGCCAGTTAGGGGAGCTGCCTTCCACACACAAAGCCTTGATCCTTATTGCTGGAGTACTTCTGGGAGCAGTGCTGGTTCTCCCTGCCAAAGATCCCTTCCCTGCATTGCGGGTCCCTGCACAACATCTGACACCCCTATGGCTACTGACCCAGAGAGACCAAGCTTAAGGGCTGTAACAAGCCAAAAAGGGGGCTCTGTTCTGAAGCTGGGTGGGGAGAGACCATTGCACCTTTGTGCCTTCATTGATGTTGACTTTGATCTGGTATAACTGTGCTTCCTTTTCCTCTTCCCAGGCGCCGAGCCTGCCAGTTGGAAGAAGGGGATGTAGGTACCATGCACCCACTCTTCAATCAAACCTGCCAGCAGTGGATGGCATTCATGAACCACCTGGGTATGTATCTCAGGTCCCAGCTCCTCCAGATGGGCTAGGGATGGGCCTTTCTTCCCGGAGCTCCAAGGACAAGTCCTTATATGGCATCAAGCCCTCCACCTTCATCCCTTGCTGATCTCTACCTAGTTACGCACCCTGTCTCTCCCCAGACCTCACCAGAGTCCCATTGGTCTGAGGGCCAGCATCAGCATTACAAAGCTGTGGCAGGAGTCTGGGCAGTTATCTGTGTGCACCTGAACAAACCTGCTAAAGCCTGTGATTGCATCTGCCATGCTCCAAGTTCAGGGCTTGCGGTAGTGAAGGAGCTCCCAGGTGTAGCAGGGAGGGAGGATCTGAGCCTCTGCAACATGCTCTGGGGCTATGAAGCTGCATGGGAGACCCCCATTCTTGCAGGAAGGGAGAGGAGGAGGATGCCTTTCATACGGTGGGATTTGGGTCTGTGTGGCTGCCCTGTTGCTGCTTTCTGGATACCTCTCACTTCAGTGTTTGTACATCCTCCCACACCTCCTCCTGGCAAGGTAGAGCTGTCCTCCTCCTCTGATGAGGAGTATGCCAGGGAACAAGGAATAAGTGGAGGGAATACAGTGCCATGCTCAGGGCACGCAGGGAGTTTGGTCCAGGTCTCACTTCAGGCCAGAGCCTGAAACCAGGGGTTATTTTGCCCTTTGCCTTTTCCTCCATATAAGGTCCTTGTTCTCCAGCTCTGCCTGCCTCAGTCCCTGGCAAGGCAGGAACTTGGCCTGCTCTGGGCTGCCTTAGCCGTCTCCACTGCCCAGGTGGGCAGGGCTTGGCTCTGGGGCAGCTTGGTGCCTTGTCCTACAGTACTTCTTCCATTCAGGGTGCCCATCGGTGCAGCAGTGCTCAGTGGAGATTGTGTCCCGTTTCCTCCTGTCCTCCATCCTGGTGGAAGTGGTGGCCCTGGTCACTACCCTGGCGAGTGACACCACTGTCAAGGTGTTTGAGCAGATCTGGTGAGTTATGTGGTTTGTAGGAAGCTTGGCACCAGCAAATGCCGATCAGCTGTGCCAGCCTCTGCTCCCATGGCTCTACTTGTCAGCCACCTCTGGTGCTTTTCTCTGCAGCTGCCATCAGGGCACTGCTTTCCTGCCCTATAAGCCTGGCCAGAGCACCAGCCCTCGCCCTGCAGCCGTCAGACACTTCATCTTGCTGGGACGCAACTTCCAGCAGTGGCGTTGCAGCACAGAACAGGGTGAGTGCCCGGCCAGGACTGTGTGCTGAGGGCTCTTGGGGTGGGAGATGTATGAGCAGGTTCCCCTCTTGGCTGGGACAGACTGCTTGTGCCTGGAGGTGGGCAGTGGGTTGTCTGTTTTCAGCTCCTGAGACCTTATTCTCAAATTTGCTTATAACTGCTTATTTCAAGATCAGATGAGCTGTACTGTGGCACAACATCCTGTCGTGCCACCTTAAAGGCACATGGGAGGTAAGAGTGGGATAAACTGGTCTGAGAGTCGTAACTCTGGCTTCTTCCAGCTCACAAAGGGCTCCAGCGCTTTGAGGCTATGGAATTCAGCTCGGCAGAGAGAGGCTCTGACCCAAGCCTTGTCGGACGAGACCTGGCACCTCGGCAAAGGTTCCTCTTCATGGAGATCATCGACAAAAAGGTAGCAATGATGCCTGTGTGATGTCTCCTGAAAGCCAAGCTGTTCCCAACTGGCCCGGGGTTAGAAAGAGGAGAGGAAGAGCGCCTCTGCAGGCCACCAACCTTCCCTAGGCAGGAGCCCTCCAAAGCAGCTGTGCAGGATGTCTCTGCTCGTGCTGCAAGCAGAGTCAGGGATTCCCTGCAGCACTGTGGGGAGTGCTGGGGGGGCAGCAGCCCTTGCTGTCTCTGACTTCAGCTGCCCCACTGTGGACTATAATTGCCCTTTCCTTCCCCACAAGGTCCACATCAGGCTGGGCACTTGTGCTGCCAGTGCAAGTACCACCACCACTGCTGTGGGTGTTAACAGGGGGGCTGTGAATGACCTGTTGCCACTCTCCCTGTCCCAGCCTTGCCATTTGAAACTGGCTGGAGCTGCAGCAAGTACCACCCAGAGCACCTGGGGCAGCCTGTGTCACCATGCAGGCCCTCTCTGAGCCGGTCTCTCAGCATTCCTCCCGCTCTTCTCTCTCCAGCTGACGCTTTACACCTACAACTGGTCCCCAGACCTGGGATCCAACCTGAACTGCTCGCTTACTCGCCTGCTGCAGTGGCAGAATGCCCGGTCCCACATCGTGCACTGCCTGCTCAGCCAGAAGCTGGGACTCTTCCACCACCACTGCTTCATGGACACACCGTGGCATGAGGACAGCAAGCAGGTAGGGCACCCTGCTGGGCAGGGCAGTCCTTTTCTCTTCAGGAGGGGCCTTGGCAGCTTGAGGGTCTGATGATGGCAGCAGACACTTCAGTGCTTTTGTGTGCCTGTTGGCAAGGCATCCCCAGGTGCTCACGTGTCCAGCTGTGGCCATGTCCAGGCAGGCTGTTGCTGTCTGCTCTTGGAGACAACCAGAAGTGGAAAGGGAAACAGGTTCTGCTGTTGCCAGCACTTATCTGTGACTAGATTATTTAGGGTAGAGGAGGCTGAGGAATGGGCTTCCCACTGCACATTAGGGCCAATGCCTGCTCTCCTCAGCACTGGTGATGGAGGAGGCCAACAGATGTCTGCAGATGGCCAAAACTAGGTTTACACTGTTCTTGTGGATCCTTTCTCCAAGGCTGGCAGTAAGGAGGCTTTCATGGCTGTGTCTGCTTGCTTAGGAGCCAAATCCTTTCCTGAACTCCACTTTGGAGGTGGACGCGCTGATCCGGAGCTCCAGCCCCCCACCTAGCAAGGAACAAGGCCGGCTGAGCAGCTCTGCCCGCAGCCTACCGTCTCTGCACTTCCATCCTGATGTGGTGCCCTTTGATGAAGCTCTGCGGGATGTTACCACCATCAAGCGCATACCCCATGGGCCTGAGTTGGGACCTTTTGACCCCGTGTCTCGGCATGGGGCCCAGTTCCTGGAAATCAAGAGCATGGAGAGGAAAGGTAAAGCAAGGGGCTTGATGGCACAGGAGCCTGCCTAATCATCTTGCTCTTGGAAAAGGAGCTCAGAAAGAGCGGAACAAGAGTTCTGGCAGAGGGGACAGTTTTCATCTGCTCCTGCCAGGGTGCTGTGAGGGGATGGGTTATGGCCTGAGTAGGGTGGGAGTGAAGGGGAGTGGCAATACTTGGGGCTGTGGCTTGATACTCTTGCGGCTGCTCTTTTCCCTCTAGAACTGGAGAAGCAGATGAAGATTGAGAATCTCTTTGTTACCTGGCAGCAGAGATCAGCGCAGTCCAACATGCCTATCAGTGTGAGTGCAGCCCGGGTGGGTGGGTGGCAGGCTGGGCCTTCTTGCAGCGCACTGATAGCACCAGCTTGCCTATAGCAAAGGGCAGCACGGGAGCTCAGAGCAGGGTGTATGTCGGGGATGGTGTTTGGCAGTGGAGCAGCGCTCTCTGCTTGAACTTTTGGGGCTGCTGGGCTCTAGCACCAGACTTGGGAATGGGGCTTTGCTGCCCAGCACTGGAAAGGCTGTAAAGCAGGGGGTTCCCTCTAGAGTTTGATCCCCATTGAGCAGCAGCGCCGTGTTGCAGACAGCTTGTTCCCAGGCTTGACGAGGGATGTGTGCTGTAACCGTGTTCCTTTTGTGCTGTGCAGCTGGCAGACCTGGAGACCCTGAAGCAGTCCTCACGCCTAGTTCATTACTGTGCTACCCCATTGCTGTTTGACCCAGCCTTCCGGCAGCAGATCCAGACTGACCAGCAGGGCAAGGCAGAGGGAAAGGTGAGTGTCAGCAAGCACCAGTGGGACTGGGCTTTGCGCATTGGGGCAAAAGATGGCTTTGCAGTCTTTTCCCAAGACAGGGCTGCTCTGAGCTCAGTCCTGCATTATAGGATGAATTTGCACCCCATAAGATGGAGACCGAGAAAATCCTTGGGTCCTCGAAGCCTTTCTCCTGCAGCCACATCACCCCTGGGGAAGACTGACTTCCATTTTCTATGCAGGAAATTCTGGCCTGAGTCTAGCAAAGCCCTCAGAGAGTGCTGTCTGGTACTGATCTGCAAAACTTCACTTTATGCATTCAGCAGCCAGACCTGGTAAACCTTGCCTGCACCCATCAAATAGCTAGAACAATTGAAAGCAAACCAGCTCAATCCTGAGCAGGTTGCAACCTAACAGACTCTAACCGGTGTAGATCCCGCACTGGCTGTTCACGGTCTGTATGTGTGTCAGAAGGGAAGAACAGGCTGTTGTAATTTATCTAAATGTCAAAAGGATTCTGACAGGGTCTTTAAACAGAGATTGCTACAGAAATTGAGCACTCACAAGAGAAAGGAAAAGTATCATCACAGAATGAAAATCTCACTTTGTTTTTGGAACAGAGCAAAATGAAAATTGGTTATTCAATTTGAAGAGCCTGGTAGCAGGGGTTTCAAGGTTGTGTATTGGGTTCTGTATTTCCAGATCATTTATCGCAGCACATATGAGATGCCAGGCTTTGCAATGCTGTGTGGCTGTTCAGATTGATCAGAACAGAAAAAGACTGCAACGAACTTGAGAGGGACCTGAGTAGCCTGTGAAATGAGAGGTATTGTGGGAGCTGGGACCTGGTTCCCAGTAAAACAGAGCACAACGTGGAGAGAAATTTGAACTCTTCCTGTATTGTACACTAACTGCAGATCCTGTACAGAGCAGACAGCTCAGTGGATTTCTTCAATTCATGAACAGTTGCGTACAAAAGGCAAACTGTTTAGAGTACATCAGGAAGGGGTGTTAGTATTATGGATAATATTCCAATGCGTTTCTAAAATACTAGTGTATTAATGTCTTCATCTGGACAGTGAGTGTGAGACCAAGCATCTTGTGGCAAAGGCACTGAACTAGAGAGACTCGGAGATGATCAGAGAGTAGCCGGAGAGACCCCAGGTAAAGAGACTGCTCCTGGGATAGGTGAATGAAAGGGCAGATAGAAATATGTAAAAGAGCCACAGGCTTGAAGTAGAGAGATCAAGAAAAGAAACCTCAGTTTCTCACAGCACAAAGACAAGGAGTATTCAAGACACCAAAAGGTGAACTGAAAATGGATAAAAGGAAACACTATTCCTATTCAGTACTACTGAACTACTAGTAAATCCTGAGAAGTCACCAGGATTCATAAGGGGATTGGACTCTTACCATGGCAGTAAAAGCTGAAGCTCTGTTGAGCCTTGCGTGAACCAGTTGTGAGCCACTAAAACTTTGTGGAAGCCGTTCTGTGGGGGGAGATGTGAATTATCCCCTGCTGCCAGGGCACCTTTTCCTGCAGTCTGCTGAAGTGCTGTTAGGTCAGTCCACAGCTAGGTAAAATTTGGATCTTGTGTTTCAGCGCACGCACTAGGACAGTGTTTGAGGAACCAGCTGTTAGTGCTGTCTGGCAGAGGGAGATCTGCCCTCCGCTCAACCAGAGCAGCTGGCGTTGTCCCAGCGAGTGTTACCGGCTGGGGCCAGATGCAGCACATCTCCTTAGGAAATTATTTTCTCTTCCAGAAGCGCCACCGCTCAAATGACTCTACAGCTTCAGGGAGGGACCGCAGCCATAGCTGTGACTCGGCAGAAGCACTGCCCTGCAAGGTGAAGGAGGAGCCCTGGCTGCAGGAGATGTGCAATGCCTTCTTGCAGCAATACATCCAATACCTGCAGAGCATGGGCTTCATTCTGGTCCAGGTGCGGCCACCCTCACCCACCACTCGCAGGTCAGTGACGTTCTGGGAACCGTGTTGCTGGAGAAGGGCCGACACACTGAGCTATGCCCTGGTTTGACACAACAGGAGACGTTGGCTCCCTTGCTCAAGGCTCTCTCTGCTGTCATTTCCAGTAGCACAAGCCGGATCCGAGCTCTGGCAGCAATGGGTGTGGAGGGCAGAGGGTCCTTTTCCTACACGAAGCCAAAAGCAGAGGGGAGTCCAAAGGTGAGTCCGTGTCTGTTAGAGGGATGGAACTGGGATGGAAGTCAGGCTGTGGAGTGGGGCAGTTCTCCTGGTTGGCTTTTGAGTCGGTTTCAGACAGAAAGAATGCGAGAGGGCGGAGAAAGCACCAAAGCAAAAAAAAAAGTCTTGTCTAGACCAGCACCATCTTTGGGATGTTGGATCAGATGAGCCCTCCTTGCCCTCCTGCATGTCTTCCTGCAGCCCCTTCCTGGGACTGGGTGGAACCAGGGCAAATCTGAAAAGGACAGCAACAACTTGGAGGGGGCTCAGAGGAGGAACACGGTGAGCTGAGGCCAGGACAGCTGCCTTTGGGTGCAATTCTGGAGGTTTACCTGTCAGAGAAGCCTCAGCATCTATGGTGAAGGGCAGTTCTGGGGCAAAAGGATCTTTAGTGAATGCTGAAGTTGAAGAAATCAGAGAAGATAAACCCAGAACAGCTCCACTGCAAGAGCAGGCTGAGGCTCTTCATTTCTGAAGAAGTGGCAACTAGGGAGGGACAGGACAGAGCTCTACCAAATCGCAGCTAGCCTGGAAAGGGATTGACTCCTTGCTGTCCTATTAGATACAACACCTAGACACCATCAAATGAAAGTATTGGGAGCCAGTTTCAAAGCAAAAGGGGGTGTTTCTTTGTGCAGCAGGTAACAGTGGTCTTTATCAAAAGGTTTTGTGAACACTAAGAGCTTATGTAGGTTTTGTGAACACAAGAGCTTACAAGAGAGAATAGGTAAGTACCTGGAAGAGGAATCCGTCTGAGTTGCTGGATAGGCAGAAACCGTCTGTGGCTCATGCAATCACCCAGGGATGATGGGAGCACATAGCATTTGCTCACCCTTTTCTGACGCTTTCCTGGCACCTACCTTTGGCTGATGTTGGTACAGGATTGTGGGCAAGACAACACCTTGCAGTTAAAATGAGAAGAGAGAAATCTACTCAAACAAGTTAACAGGGGGCAAGTGAATTTGCTGGCAGCGAAGCTCTGAGTCCAGAGTGGATGCCTCTGATAGTTGCTGCATCAGGCAGATGCGATGGTCTGGGAGTGCTCAGCAGGGAGAGGTGGGAGCGAGGTTTTGTGGGCAGCATCTCCCCTCAGCTCACAGTGTCCTCAGACTCTAGAGACACTCTGTCCTGAGTAAGCATGAGGCGAAGGGAGCAGTGTGCCTGGTGTGCTCTCTTGAAGGCTGTTTATTAGGTTTGTTGGAATTCTTTTCACAGTCAGCTTTGGCATGTCTGCTCCCCTCCCTCCAGTGAGGATGCTCAGTTGATGAGGCTCCTCTATTTCCACCTCTGCCACAGAGCCTTGTGCCAGCCTCGCAGAGTGTGCGGGCCACTCTCCTGTGCCAGAGAGCCTCTCCAGCTTTGTCCTTCTCTTCCCAGAGCACAAGCCCTGCTGTTGCCACCTATCATCTACAGAGAGCTCTTCCTGGTGGGATTGTGCTGATGGAGCTGGCCTTCCAGGTAAGAAAGAGCATGCAACAAAGTATGATCTCTGGGGGTTTGGGGACAGCCTTCAGAGGTGACAAAGTGAGTGATGAGGAGTGCAGCAGGGACATATGATTCCTCCTTTCTTGTCCTGCCTCTTCCATGGTCCTGCAGGACTGTGGATCATCTAGGGATGGTTTTGCAGGGCTCAGAGGAGTAAGAGTTGCCTGGAGGGGGGCTAATAAAAGATGCAAGGGCTCAGCACCAGGTAGGGTGCTCTGTGCTCAGCCATGTGTTGACTGGGCTGGCTTGGTTCAGACAGGAGGGGAAACAAAACATGGAACAAGAGTGTCTGGGACTCAGCCCACAGAGTGAAGCATGGGAACTGTTCTTCCCTGGAGAGGCTGAAGGCCTGTGCAGTGCTTATGTGCTCTCTTCTCCAGGGCTATTACTTCTGTGTGAAGCAGTATGCGCTGGAGTGCTCACGGATCCCCATGGGCCAGTCTGTGAACTCCCAGGTAATGGCTTTGCAGGCACGGCCAGTGCTGCTCAGGGTCAGGGGCTGCTTCGGGAGAGGTAGTGACTGCTGGGACAGAGTCGGCATTTCAGGTGCAGCAAATTCTGGAGAGCTCTGCTCCGTCCTGGAAAAGCAGAACGACGCAGAGCCTTTTGCAGGCATATGCCCTCCATGGCCTGCTGCTTGCACAGCTCTGGAGTGCAGTGAAAGGGGGTGGGAAGTTTGTCAAGAGGATGACTCTTGTCCTAGCTTGGGGAGCAAGATAGAGCAGGCTGGGGAGGAATAGGAGCAATTCTGGCAGAGATGACTGCTCCAAGGAAAGTCAGTGCATGGAAAGCCAGAAGCTCTCTGCTTCCCTTGGAACATAAGGGAGGCGGAATGGGAACAGGGATCTGTGAACATGGATGGCTGCCCTTTGCCGGAGGAGACCACTTTCTGCACCGTGAGACCTGGTTCTTGATACCTCTGTGCCTTGCTCTACAGCACCATGGGGTTGCCTGCTCCCTTCTCTTTTGGTGTGTCAGGGTGTCTCCTGCCTGTCTCCAGGGCACTGGGGTGGCTGTCTAGAGGCTGCCCAGCCCCAGCCTATCTGAGGCAGGAGGCATGCATGACCATACTGTCCTTTCCAAGGTGGCTCTGTAGCAAGGCTGTATCTTACATATGCTAAGAGTGGCTCTCCTAAGCTTAAAGCCTGCCAGGGCCTCACCTGAGGGTTTGCTGAGCCTTTCCTGTGAAGCCCACACGTGCATAGGGCAGGGTTACCAGGCTGCAGCTGGCATTGCAGGGAATGTCCGGGCTCTCTCTGGATGACTTGAAAAAAAGACTTTGCCTGGTTTTGCAGTGGGAGGGGATGGTCCTGGGAGCAGCGGGCGAGAGGTGTGGGGCTTGCTGCAGGGGCCTGGCCAGCTTTCCCACACGCTGGGACTAGCCCACAGTTCCCCCAGATGGGACAGTTGGGCTCCTCTTCCCCTTCTCTCCCCTTGTCCCACCCTGGGCCTGTGCCGGACAGACTGGATGCAGGAACAGGGTTGGGCAGTGCCTTGTCCCTCTTCCCACTGGCTGTGCATCTCTCTCCATCAGGGCACTTTTACAGCCAGAGCTCGCAGCAAGAGCTGCATGGGACCCAGCTCCGTCTCTGAGTCTGCGGTACGTCCTCTCCTCCCACTGCCATGCTGGGCACAGGAGGACCTGCCAGTGCAGGGCTAAACCTCCCACTGGCTGTGCTTCCACCCTTCCTGCCCCAGTGCCCGGCTGTGGGAGCTGCCGCTTGCCTCCTGTGCCAGTGCCTTCCGTAGCAGTACACGCCACAGTGGGCAGCACAGCTTGGGAGGGGGATGGGGTGGGCCCCAAGTGCTGGCATGGGAGCAGCACCTTGTGTTTCTTGCTCTTCACCCTGCCTTTCCTGGGGCAGAGCTATAAGTTCCTCTCTGGGCTTGTCCTGGCTGTGCAGGTTGCCCTCTGGCTCATGGCAGCAGCAATGCGGGTAGTGCAGAGAGCGAGGGCAGCCTCTTCTTATGCCAATGCCTCCTGCCTGCTGGTTTTCCCTGCTTGCCCCTTCTTAAACCAAGGGATTATGGTGTAGGTCAACTGCCTAAAGGTGTCGGAGAGCCAAAAGACATTAGAACTCTGGGCTCCTGGCACGAAGGCAAGGCTGAGGCCTTCACCAATGCTGTTCCCTGGCACAGTAGCAGCAGTTGTGGTGGGGGCAGCGCCGGGGGGGGTGGTGTGGAGGCTGGTGCTGCCCCGGTGCAGAACTGGCACGCTGGGCAGAGGGGATGGCCATGTGCCGGAGAGGGGCCCTCCCTTTGGGCACAGCTGTCACACACCAGCCACCACTGGATCTGGCTTCCCAGCAGCCAGCTGGGGTCCCTGTTAGCTACTGAGCACAGGGCATTAGCAGCTCTGCTGTTGCCCATCTCTGGGTCCAACCACTCCCCACAGACCCCTGTGCTGCCCCCTCCTCTCAGGGGACATTCAGAGAGTCAGTCTTTGCCTGTAGATCCAGGATTTGCTGGGGCCCCAGCCCTGGCGTGTCCTGTACCTGCTCAGGGACTAGACAGTGCAGTGCAGCACTCAGCTGAAAGGAGGCTGTGTCCTCCTTCACAGCCACATGGCGTTCAGCTCAAGGCAGGGGATGAACCTCATGACAAAAGGGAGGCAGTGCCAGTCAGTCTGTGCTGCTACTGGAGACCAGGAGCGGGGTCAAGTGTGGAAGGAGCCACCAAGCTGGATCCCTTGGGGCCAGGCCTGCTATTTGCAATGTGCAGACAGCTTCTCAGCTGCATCCTGCTCTGGTGTCAGGGCAGGGGTGGCTGCACTGGCTCTGCCATGCCTTGCTTGTCAGCAGGGCTTTGCAGAAGGGTGTGAGGTGCCTGGTAATATTCCTGCCTTGACTCCCTGTGCCTCCGCAGCTCTCTATGCTCTTCACGGAGGAGTGTGACAAGGTGCGGGACCTCATGCACGTGCATTCATTCAGCTACGACTTCCACTTGCGTATAGTCCACCAGTATCTGCTGGGTTCCCACATGACTCTCCGCCAGGGCTACCATCTCACCAGCTTCCTGGAGGATTTCATTGCCCACCACCCCGACATCCCCAAATTTGGCCGCAACCACGTTTTCCAAGGTGTGTAGCTCAACATGTGATCAGTCTGGGGTTGATCGCCAGCCTGTAACTTGGCAAAAGGTTTTCAAGTGCTTTACAAATAAAACTGACCTTTGGAGTATCCAGGGAGATGACAGGGAGAGGGTGACATGAGGGGCCCAGCTCCAGGGGAACTCCTTGCTGCCCTGTTGTGGAAGGGGGCTGGGTTGCCCTAGAGCTCTGTCTCCCAGAGTAGTTTGTAGGACACTGCTCTGCCCAGGTAAGAGGCACTAAGCATCTCCTGTGATAGCAACATGTCCTCTTCCACTAGGCATGCTGGCCCTGCCCACCAACATGATCACTGCGCACCAGCTGTACAACTACATCGCCGACCACGCCAACACCTACCACATGAAACCCCTCCGCATGGCCCGGCCGGCCACGGGCAGTGACAACAAGAAGGGGACACCGGGCACAGAGCAGAATGAATATGCGCTGGTCTCTATTTGGAACAGGTGAGTGCATCTGCTGCAAGTTTCTGGAGCTTCTGGAGATCGGTGGGCACCCCAAAGTCCTGGGGACACTGCCCCAAGGTGCCAGCAAAGCTGACCGTTCTACATGGTGCCAGGCAGCAGTTCTGCCCAGCTTTTCTGAGATGGACCACAGAGGTGCTGTGCATGTGCACACATGCATTTGACATTTCCCATAGCACTTCTGAGGAGTCCTGCTGCGTCGAATTCCCCATGCCCGGTAGTTCTCTTGTGACCAAGAGCTCTGGGGGAACAAAGTGAGGTCCCCTTCATACTGATGTGCTTTTGCTCCCAGCTCGGGCTCTTACAAGGACTCTGAAGGTCTGCGTCATCATGATGACTTCGATGTGTCCCTCCTGGTGTGTCACAGTGCAGCACCGTTTGAGGAGCAGAGTGAGGCAGAGAGACGCATGCTCCGGTGAGCACTGGGGGCCCAGAGACTTGACACCAAAGCTTCCTCTCTGGGGAGGAGAGCTCTGGGAGGGACTGGCTCTGTCTGGGACATCACAGGCAGGTTTGGTGCTGTCTGGGGAGGATCCTCGCAGGGAACTGGGCAGTGTGGTATCTGTCCTTGTCTGGGCAGAGAAGCACCCTTACTGGCAGGGACAGAGAGGCCCATGATTCATTTGCAGACCAGCTGAGAAGCGAGGAGCCCTTCCCCAGGTCACAATTGTCTCCTTGCTCTCAGCTTGCGTTTCTACGTCATCATGACTAGCCAGCGGGAGCTCTTCCCCCGGCTCACAGCCGATATGCGACGCTTCAAGAAGCTGCCGCGCTTGCAGCGGGAAGTGCTGGAGCCTGTGGTGGGCCGGGCGGCGTGGGAGGCAGCGGAGCCGGAGACGAGCCTGGGGCAGCAGCAGACGGTAGAGCGGGAGCTGTGGCAGGACGTGGAGGACAGCAGCGAGTTCTACGCGGGGGGCACGCAAGTCAAACTGGGGCCTGGGCTCTTCTACACCTCACCACTCTTCCCCTTGCTGGCCTCCGAGGTGGCCTCAGCCCAGAAGCAGCTCAGCAGCATGGTGCAGCTGGCCAAGTGCCACTGCCGCAGGGACAACCTCTGGAAGCGCCTCTTCCTCCTGGAGCCTCTGGCTTCTGACAAGCTGAAGCTGGGCAAGCTCTCACTGGTGGAGCTGGAGGAGCTGCTGGACGCCGTGCATGGGAAATCCATTGCTGATGTCGACCCCCAGCTGGTGAGCAGCAGGGACGGAGTCATGGTGCACAGCAGCCGCTGTTCTGCTCTGGGGAGGGAGTGGGGTGCCGGGTGAAAGGCCTGCAGGGCACATCTCTTCCTGCTTGGGGGGAAGATAGAGGCAGGAACATAGCTCCGAGCTGGCAGAGGAAGGGGGAGGCTGCATAGACATGTCTATGGAGAGTGGATAGCTCTGGGTCACTCAGTGTTCCTCAGTGGGCTGTGATGGATCCATCTGATTTGGGGTCTGAAGGCTGCTGCAGCATTATGGCTGCTGCTGCCATGGCTAGAGGGAGACTAAAATCAGCCCTTTTCCATGCCCACAGGGATGCTTCCTCACCATGACAGTCTCCTGGTACCAGAGCCTCATCAAAGTGCTGTTGAGCCGCTTCCCCCAGAGCTGTCGGCACTTCCACAATGCTGAAACCGGCACCCAGTATCTGGTAGGTCCCAGCCTGTCACCCACCTGCAACCTCTCTCCCCTGTCCAGGGCCCCTACTTGCTATGGCCTCTCGCAGCGTGAGCCTGGCGTGTGCTGTCAGGATAATGTGGGCACTGTCATGATGTTGCTCTCCACTCTGCTACTGGTGCAGCATGAGGTGTGTGCTCCTGTGGTACAGCAGTGTCTGTTTGTCTGCCCCCAGGCAGGTAGGACACTCTTCACACCCAGAGCCTCATGCCCCATGGTTTGGCAGCGTCACCTGTGAGCCAGGCAGACTTGCACCTTCACAATTCTATCATGCCACTCGTCCTGCACATCAGCACGTCCCTGGGTGGGTGTTGTTCGTATCCCTGTCCTGGGGTTTGTGCTGTCTCCTTTACAATGTGTGCTGTGGCTCTCTTGACAGGTTGTGCTCAATCAGAAGTTCACGGATTGCTTCGTTCTTGTGTTTCTTGATTCCCATTCAGGAAAGACGGTAAGAACTTGGGAACGTAAGAGCAGCTATATTGGCTCAGGCTGGGAGTCTGTCTAGCCTGTGTGCTGGAGCTTTTGTCGTGGCCAGGTCCATCCTCGTCGTGCCAGTGGTAGCTCGGAGCTGAAACCGCTCTTCACTGTGTGGGTACCCGCTTCCTCCCCGGTGCCCTAGATTCACCTCCACATCTGAAGGCGGAATTTTTGCTAACTCCGTGTTGCTGCATTAGGCAAGCTGAGCCCTCAAGCCTGCCTTCCCTTCTCCAATGGTTTCATTGTCATTCAGAGCCCTTCAGAGCCCTGGTCAGCCTTTGTAAATACAGGTGTCTGGGACTGCACCCAGTATTCCTGAGGAGTCTCAGCAGAGCCTTCTGTGATTGCACTAAGGCTTTTCCGTCCCTGCCCGGTCCTTTTGGTACAAAAGGTGGTACTTGCCTTTTCACGGTCATGTCTCACTGGTCATAGTGTGGTCATCGATATGATACACCGACTCTCCATCACCTCTCCTAAGACTCCCATCTTATAACAGAAATCCTTCGTGTTCCTCACCTTGTATTTTGCACTTAACATTCATCCCATTCCTGTGGCTTCTCAAAAGTCTCTAGGGCTTTTTTTGCATCATCCCAATCCCCTTTTGTATTAGTGCCTCAAATTTTATCAGCATGCTCCTCATCTTTGTGCCAGACTCATTAAAGTACTAGGCAACATGAATCCCAAAACCTGTCCTGGAGGAACTCCATTTGTAACTTCTCTCCACCCTGCTATTTCCTCTTTTCAGCACTACCATCTTCACCTTATAATTTTTGCGTTAATTCCTATCTTTCCAGCTTACCTATATTTCCCATGTGGCACTACATCAAATCCTTCCTGAAGCTTAGACAAGATATACCATAATTCCTTTGTCTAGAAATATTACCTTATCAAAGAGAACTCTAGCGTTAGCACATCACTTTGGTAACACTGAGCTGCATTTTCCTCATGGTTCTTTCTCTCCAAGCTTGCTCTAAAGCCTTGCACACTGCTGGAGTTATGCTCACAAATCACTTTTTCTTCCCTCTTAAATGATGGTGGTGCATTTGCTGTTTTGCAGTTACACAGCTGTTCTCATGGCTTTACGAGTTTGTTAGGGGACCCTGGCGACTAGATGTGCTGCGTTTCAGCTCTGGAGAACACCCAGTCCCTGTGTCTTGCCTCCATGATGCTGATCTCGGTGCACTGAGTTGCTCACGTTTTTCTTCTGCTTCAGCTCCTGCAACCTTCTCTTCTGAACCCTGTTCCCTGCCCTTGCCCTGCCTTGTCAGTACAGTCACTAATGAGAATGGAGCAGCCAGCATTTAGTTTCAGGATTGCAGTTATTACATTTAATCTCCTCCCCTTCCCCATTTGTTTCACTCCTACTCTTTGCCTTAGAAGAAGAAATTTCCCTCTAATTTCCCTGGAAGCCCCTATTACTGTGGAGGCAGTAGGATCCCTTCCTCTCCTGAGGCTGCTGCTGGGGTTGGTATAACTGCAGATGCATGGGGGCTGGGACGGAGGGAGTAGGCAAGTCCTTGCACCTAATTTCCACCAGAAAAATTGGGAGGAGGCTCAAACATGCTCTGTCACAGGAGGAGGCACTAGCTTAGTGCTGTTGGCATTTTGGGACTTCTCTCAGTATCTGCCTGACACGGACAAGCAAGCGCCCACACATCTGGGCTAGGGACTGCACAATGCGTGTCTGAATCCTGTCCCTTGACCTGCTTTTCCTTCTCAGCAGAGCCTCACTGTGGTTTTCCGGGAGCCGTTCCCAGTGCAGCCCCAGAACAGCGAGAGCCCTCTGCCACAGCTTGTGTCCACGTACCACCACCTGGAGTCAGTTATCAACACTGCTTGCTTCAACCTCTGGACAGGCCTGCTCTAGCACCGGCACCCGCACCGTGGAGCGATACACGTACCAGACCTCTTGGTGTGGCTGTGCTATGGGTGACAAAGGGGAAGAACAGGCCTCTGGGGGGGACCTGTGCTCCAGCACCACAGGCAGCGCTGCTAGCGGCACGCAGGGGTACTGAACTGAGGAGCCTGGGGATGTGCGAGGGCAGCCTGCCTCCTCTTCTTGGGCTTCAGCCCCAGCTGTAACCTCCATCAGTCGCTGGCTGGCTGGTGTGGCCCTCGGCACGCTGTTTTCGGTGGGTTTGATACTGAATGACCTTGAACTGAACTGCAAGGGCAGGAGCTTGGCTGCTGTGGCTTGGCTGAAGCAGAGCAGCTCTCAGGGACGTGGCTTTGGCATCTGCAGGTGAGTTCTGCCTGCCAGGAAGGCATGGAGGAGCACACACAGTACGTCTTCTGCACAGGGCAGCACCGCACAGCGCTCTGGCTTTAGGTGGAAAGACTCCTGGACTTCAGGGCAGTGAGGGTGCCTACTTCTGGCCCTTTCATCAGGAGAGCACCGAATGGGACAGGAAGGGTGAACTGGACCAGGGGAAGGTTTTATGGAGATGTATATTAAAGCCATTGATATATCTGTGAAATAAACTGAACCAGATCCCCACTCACGTGCCATAGGCTAGGATCTGGAAAGCCTCCCCTAGGGGATGCAGAGGCAACCCTGGCTGCAGGGCTGGCTGGGTTTGCACTGGAGTCTCCTACTTGCTCTGGCGCAGGAGCAGCAGGGCTGTCAGCCCCAAGCGTCCATTGGCAGGCAGCCCCCAGCCTGTTACCCTGGTTCGGGCAGCCTGCGACGGGGCTGCTCGCTTCGCTTTCCCCACGTGCGGCAGGGCGAGTGCTGGGCACTGGCAGCAGCCTCGAGAACTGCAGGACGCGGAAGCCCAGAGCCCTCTTCCCCCAACTCGGCACCAGCTGGAGCCGGACTGGGAAAACTCACACCCTTCCCAAGAAGTGAATGCTCCCTTTGGCAGGGGGGACTGGAAACCTCTCCCTGGGACACCCCTGCAGACTGGAGGTGAAGGTGCTCCTGTGTACCTCAAGTCACCTACAGTGGTGCCCATGGCACCCCCAAATACGACGTGCTGCAGATGGTGCTTGAGTAGATGAGGGTCCAAACTGCTTGGGCTGGCCCAGGAGGGCCTGGGGAAGGGCAATAGGACATAGATGCTCCTAACTTTGCCCCAAGTCATAGAGAAGACAGACATGCTCCTCTGCTAAGCCATTGCTTTGACTTTTATTCCAGTGTTTTCCTTCTTTTACTTTGCTGCCTTGGTAGTCCCACCGTGCTGCAGGCCTCTGCTCTCCCAGTACGAGCGCAGCCAGCCCAGACCTTCCAGAGTGTCTCCTGCAGTGACAGACACGGTCCTCTGCTGGCACCCCCAGGCAAGCTGGAGCAGCCCCTCTTCTGGGCAGGGCTCTCAGCCCCAGGTAGGGATGCCGATGCCCGCTGCCTGCCACCCCCAGAACATGCCTGCTTTTGCACAGTCCCCAGCCAACTGGTCCATGCTGGGAGCTGCCAGTGGGGCTGGGATCACCCACAGTCCATAGGCCCGCTCACCTTTCGGAGCGTACTCGCACCCCACATAGCCAGTGTAGCCGAGGGACTCCAGGAGCTCGAAGATGTAGGGGAAGTTTAACTCCCCAGGGCTGTCGGGCTCGTGCCGCCCTGGCACCTGTGCAATCTGGATATGACCTAGGGAGGGAACGGGAGATGCTCTGCCCAAGGCAGCCCTGCCTGCAGCCTTCTCTAGGACAAGGTGGCCCAAGAGCAGACCCTTGCCCCCAGCCAGCCACAGCAGAGCGTGGGGCAGTAGGGCCCCATCTCAAAGCCACTCCTGCCCCATGGCCACAGAGGAGCGGTTTGGGTGCAGGGCGTTACCGATGAGTGGGAAGTATGTCTCCAGGTTGCGTGACAAATTCCCATCCATGATCTGGCAGTGAAAGATGTCCTGGGGGAGAGAGAGGAGCCGGATGGTGCAGCTGTTCAGTAGTGAGTGCTTGAGGATGGCTGTGCTATGGTCCCTGTCCCTCCCCACGTCCCCAGGAGGGGATAGGAAGCCCACAGCCCCTGGGACTCCCCTGTGGGCCTGTGCAAGGTTCCCTGGTGGAGGGTGGACTCCGGAGATCTTCAATGCTGACTCACCAGCTGCAGCTTCAGGTTGGGCCGTCCCACCTTCTCCAGGATGGCAGCAGCTAAGGGGGCAAGAAATGAGAGACCATCAGCCCCAGGCTGGAAGCTTCATGTTGAAGCCCTGAGCCTCCCGTTCATCAGCTGTGCTCCCTCAGCATCTCCCTACAGTAGAGGCACCCTCCTGCTTTTCAGACTTTGGGGATCCTTCTCCTCCCTTGAAGGAGACTGTGGGGAGAGATGTCTGCCTTACCTTGGTGCGGAGTGTTCAGAAAGTAGCGAGGGTCAGTGATGCGGCTGTTAATAGGCTCCACCAGTCCGATCATGTCTTCCTGTAACACAGCAATGTCACCCCGTGGAGCATCCTGTCACCTCTGTAGCAGGGAGTGCTCCCTCCCCGTGCCAGGCTGCCGGGGGATTCTCCATCCTCGGTACCCTAAGAGCTGCACCCACAGAGCAGGACCCGTTCCCCACTTACCTGGGCCAGGAGGTCAGCAGCGTATCTGAGATTCTCAATGAAGGTGGTTTCCATCTCGCCTGCCACTGCTGCCCGGTCTGCGCCCAGGGGAACCCGCCCAGCCATCAGGTGGATCCTGCATGCACAGAGGGATCAGCCACAGGCAGCAGCTCCAGTCTCTGAGCAGCTGGTCGGATCTAATACACCTTCCTCTGCCGATGGAAAATGGGGCCAGGCTGGGGAAGCGGACACAGAAGGGGGTAAGAGGAGCCATCTCCTGCGCAGGAGCCAGGACAGGCACCAGCAAGCTGGCAGGAGACAAACCTGCACCATCCCACCCGAGTACGCAGAGGGACGCCTTTGAACCTTTTGCCTGACAAATCGCAGACTTTGATTCTTCCCTCTTTTGCCAGCTGCCTCTGGCTCTTCCACCCCAAGGCTGGAGCTTTCTTGGGGTCTCGCTCCTGGGGCTGCCCCCAGGGCAGCAGGACGGGCAGCAGGCGTGCTGCCTCTGGCAGGGGCAGGTCCCATGCCTTGCCTCTCGCCGCTTGCTGGCTTAGAGCAGGGAGGGGATGGTGGCCAGTGCTGGGCTGCGCCAGGCTGCGTGCAGAGCTCAACGGCCAGGCAAGAGCAAGGCTCTTCAGCGCCCGTTTGGGGAAGGCGTACCGGGGAAACAAAACCTTTTCACTCTGCCCATTACCAGAGAGCGCAAATGGGTCTGGGCAACCCCCGGCCTGCCTGGCCCATGCCCTCCGCAGGGCTTTGGACTGCGTTTCTAAGGGAAAGAACGATGCAAAGTAAATGGCGTAAAAGGGCCACGTTGTGCCAGGCTAACCGCATCTCGTACAGCGCCTCTGCTGCGCTGTGATCAGCGCGGCCCTCAATAAAGCAACTGTTGCCGTGTCCCGGGGGAAACGACTGGTGTAACCGGGGAGGAGAAAGGGAGGGCGCTCACGGGGACTGTTGTGCGGCGGGGCAGACGAGAGCCGCCACAAGGGAACGGCAGGGGCGGGCGAGCGCCCGCCCGCGGGCCGGGCGCCCCCCGCGGGCGCGG